GCGATGTGCTATAGCAATAAAGTTGCCTTCGCGCGCCGCAATTCGGATCCCACTCCGCGCCGTGGGAAAGACGCGACCGCCACCGGTTACGCGATGGTATATATTTATAAATATTACGAATTGCAGCCGCGGATTGGTAGAAACTGAAGCTTTTAGACGGACAGATTCCTTCCATTTAATTTTTTTTATGCGAGAAGTTTGCAAGCGATCTTGCAGTTCCCCCTGATTTTATGTGATAACCACCGCTCCTTGACATTGACAACACCGTAACGGTGCAGATGTGGTGCCACCGTTTAATAAAGTGCACTTCCATTTCATGCCGGTCATGTGCCTGTGGGGTCGTGGTATTTCCCCGGATGGACCTGCCCATTCGTGCAACAGTGAAGATTGTTACGCGGTGACTGTTACTGACCTACCACAGCGATTACATTTAAATGGCAAGAGAGTTTGTAAGAGAACGATGTATTCTAAAAAACGCGAAACGCTCATCGATATTTATGTACAAACTTTGTACAAATATGTCGGAAACTTTGTGAAGCAGCCCTACAATTCTGCGGGTCATGTTGATAAGTTTCCTTGTCGTTCTCGTCTAAGTATGTAATTCTACAAACAATGTAATTCTAATGTGACATCGCGCTACGCTAATAACTTATGCTATCAGTTTAGTTTTATCTTTTTATTGCATTATTATATCTTCACTGCGAGGCGGTTGCTTTAATAGATGAACATCTTAATCAGTCTTTACACAGACGGGTTTGTTCAGCGCTAAATAACTTAACCGTGGGCGGTCTGGACGATGTATTTAGTACAAACCCCGACAGATATACGGGTGCGACTCCATTCAAGTTTTGCCTATGTCCTGTAAAAATAAGGTATTGTAAATTAAGTAAAGGCATTAGAATAATAATTATTTCTACTTAACTGTACATACATATTATATATTTATTATAAGCCATTGTCAATACATTAAGAGAAAGCGCTTATATACTGTTATCAACTATTTTTTCCAGTCTTTGGAGATCCAGAAACTGTAAGTTTTTATAATTAGATACCTGATTTAATAGGCGATTTCAACGTCAAACTAGTCAGCTATTATGGCGCCAAAACTTAATATGCTTTCATTGATTAATAGAGAACGAGGAGTACAATTCAATAGAGTGTCTTACTAGACTGTCTCTTGAATAGTAGCATACTTGCTTAAATTATAAAGTGGCCCTTCTTTTACTGACTTCTACGGCTGACTCACCTTTGAACTTGAAGCATGGCAATTCCTAGTGGCTACGTATCACATATTTTATCACCACGTATAGTATCGCCTACTGTCTAGAATATCTTAAAACACGTTACAGTATGAAGTCTGAAGGCAACTGAAAAAATTAATAAAGAAATAATTGTCACCCACAATTTCTAAAATCTCCCTAACAAACTGGGAACAAATGTACCAAAATCATATCTATTGGTACATCTGAGATACAGATCATGCCGGAAATCTTCACGGGAAGCACCTGACATTGACATATATTACGAAACCAAATTCCGGTGGTTACGCGATCGCCTTTTTTTTATCACCCATAACAATGGCTTTTTAAAGGCAACGATAAAACAAAGCGCGTGGGGTGCAGGTGTGGCGCTGCTCTTGCCAAATCGGTGTTTGGTCACTACCACTGAAACGGCACCGTTTTGCTTACGACGCTGAATGGACAGCAATAAATTGGGACTGGTGATTGCGGACTGAATTCAATATCAGTATCAGACTGTTTTATTCTGAATCGAATGGACAAGTTAATGGAGAGAAAATAGGTGAAACTTTTAACCCATTAACTAGTAGAAGAACATCAGATTAATACTCCTGCGATAATACGCCAGCCCGGCCAGGGCAGTACAATGACCAATGCACGAATGATGAACAAGACGATGTATTAACAATCCTCCAATGCAAAGAAAGCAACATCTCGCGTGTTATGACTAAATATATGTCATCTTTTTAATGACGTTTGACCGTGCGGATCAGAAAGCTAATTTCTCTGAAATAACAAAATTGTTTAAACACTGAATGTTCGTTTGATTATTATCTTGCCTCTAAAATCAATTTTAATTATTTGTTACAAACGATATGAAATTTCCTTCACAAGCCCCGCCGCTAATTTTCCATGTAACATCAATTACTATTCCACGTTATCGTTACATTTGTAAAGTAATTTGTATAATCACTTATTACAGTGCATAATTGCTGATCACGAAAGCGCACACTCCCAATGGAAGCTCACATCAGCGTATGCAAATTTGACTCTTATCGTGCCCCTCTAACATTTATCAATGCTTTAACGGTGAGGATCGATCGTTTAGGTCGATAGTCCTATCAGGCTAACCAATGCACACAGCGTATCAAAGTACAGCCGGCCAATTTAACGCGGCGCAACAGTTTTGCGAATTTATATCATTAAAAGCTTTTAGCGTTAAAGGAACTCGAGGTCGTTTAAAGCGTGATTTGTTTAACATGTCCCCTTAAATTGTGTTGTTCACTTAAATACCTTCACCTAATCTCAGATATTTTGACCGACCCGCTCATTTGCATAATGTTTTGAAATCGGCATCAAAGATCTGCAATGCGAGCTATATGAGTCACATTGCATGGCGATCGGAAACCTGTCCAAGCGACGGACTTGGGTTCAAATCCAATCGGGACAAAAAGTGTTTTATCCATGCAGCAGTTCATACTATTGCATTAATGGGCACCCTCGCCCAGGAAAGTAAAGCAGCCATAAAGAAATGATGTTGCGAATTTATTAATACTTTTGTAATTCGTCTGGTGAGGGAGATAACTGACACAACCTTCTTAACGGTTGGCATCCTAACTGCAACCACTCTATTGGCGAAATGGTTGTTTTGGATCGGGAGCCCGTAGCGGTAGTAACCACTTGGTTGGCTCGAAATTTCTTCGTAAAAACGGTTATACTATATGCATTTTTTCTCTTTGTTTGAGAACATTGTCTCCTTCGATATTGTACGAGCTAAACTTGGCACGGCAGCAGTGAGGAGTGCCTCTGGTATGAGCACATACTTACTGCGCTATGTCATCGCAGTTGACATCATTTGATAACAATCAGCAGATGGTCAACGAACTCTTGCTACAGACAAGGTAAACGGTTTCCATCTAAAAGATACACGAATTGTTTGGCCCATTGCCAATATGGATAAATGTTTACATTTTCTCCGTTTACCCATTCTGTGTTGATTTTAAGCAAACCTTAACATATCGTTACTACCCACTTGTTTACTACCACTTTATTAAATGATTTTGTAGAAAATGTGACTCCAGACAGAATTTATTTTTGGAATTGCTGAAATACGGTTTCATTCTCTTAAAAAGTTTGAACATTTCATATCTCGATTAAAATTATAAATGTAAATAAAAGTAAAAGTAAAGTAACAGCCTATACATGACCCACTGCTGGGCAAAGACCTCCTCTATACAGAGGGTAATAGGGCATAGTCCACCACGTGGCCCCACTGCGGATTGGCAGACTTCAAATATCTTCCAAATATTTTTTTCGTTATTATTTCGTAAATATGCAGGTTTTCTCACGATTTTTTCCTTTACCGCAAAGCACGTGATAAGTCAGCACTTAAAATCAACAATTTCATTGGGTCTGGCACCGGGGATCGAACTCAGGTATATTGAATTAAAGGCGAGCACCCGGACACTGAGCTATCACGGCTCCAAATATAAATAAAGAAAATAGAATTAAAGTAAATCGTCGTAGGTACCTACTTGAAAAACAATATTGTGATTTTTAAGAAGATTCTCTTTAACTGATGAAATTCAATCTATTTCAGATTGAATTTCATCAATCTCAACTTTATTTTGCCTTAATCAGGACCAGTTAAATAATAATTTCGCATTCGACTGATGAGGAAGTATATTCATTTAGTGATAAGTCACTTTTAAATATAACTAAGTGTTTTAGAAGTGTCTGAAACAAAATCACTAGCTCCGTAACAGTCAATTCCCTTGCCTTTATGTTTGCGATTTCCCTTGGCATGTCTCCTACAATGCGATCTCCGTGCCCTTCAGTATCACTTTGTACAATCTAAAACTACGTCGCCCATTAGCGGGGATAATCGACCTTGGGGCATTCGTTGATAAAAACAAACCCAATCTCGCAGATCAGCACCAGCTAATTACTCACGAGATTTGCCCGTAATCACGCCGATAACGTTACATTAGCCACGCGATAAGGCGTTCGACCGATGCATTAACTTCGCTAAACGCTGTACCCAAAGATAAGGCAGACTAGATCCAGTTAAATGCAAATTTAACGATTCAATCCTTTCACCGTTACTACAAACGACCTTTAAAAAAGTCTTAACTTTCCTCAAAATCTGCACATCAGTGAATGATCAAACCTGTAGCTTCATTATAAAATATACAATGCAAGTTTACTTTAATTGTTCGCCACAAAACGACCAACTTTGACCTGCTTTGTATGAATTTATATCGTATCGTATACTAGCGACCTACTAACGATGTATTTTACATATAAACCTTCCTCTTGGATCAATCTATCTAGTAAAAAATCGCATCGAGATCCGTTGCGTAGTTTTAAAAATCTAAGCATACATAGGGACAGACAGACAGCGGGACGACTTTGTTTTATACTGTATATCGTATATAAATCATAAAATTATCTCACTATTTTGTTAAAAGGAAGGAGCTTTTGTAAATTAGATGAGTTAAATAATAAATTCTTAACTAAATAATAATAAATTAGAATTCAAGTTTGAAAACAAAATTAATATTTAATCATTATAATTTAAAATCGAAAAGATGAGAAGTTAGAACACCGAAAACTTGTTACAATGTTGTTATGAATGCAATGCGTGTTGGATGTTCATTAATCATCAGTTAGTGATGTGTCTCTAAGTGCTCCAGTTTGCTTTCCATTGCGTAATCGGTTGCTCCTCGTTTGCACGCCCTTAGATTGAAAACGAAATGTGTAATGCGATGTTGTAAGTGCCCATTCCCACTTTTTATAAAGAAACGTTTGTAACCGTTCGAATTGAATTCGCACCAAACGGCAATTTTGAGTTTATCCCGATTCGCTTACAGCGCAAGTGTTTTAGTAAAGTAAATTGTGATATAAAACTAATTTACTGGTCGGAGTACAGAGCTGTCTAGTGCCCACTGTAAACTCTTAGAAAAAACATCGGGCGTTAAAGCGATAATTATACGCTTAAAAGTCCGTAAATTAATGTTATTTAGAAATTAGTAGTATTCCCATCTACACAGGAAATCATTAAAATAAATTGCGTTGCAAGTAAACTGACCAATGGGACAGAATTTCCTTTTGTTTCTATTAAGAACTATTATCCTCAACCTCAGATCGAGTATATATACGCAATTGGTCAAGATGGAGTTTCTTAAGTACAAAAAATCGCTGTCTCAAATTTAAGACTGCAGAACGCCAGACTACAGACTCACCAACTGTCTTATCCGATACTCAATAGCGTTAACTTATACGTCCGTAGTTAATTATTTTTAATTTATTTAATATTATACATTACTTCCACTATGATAGGCTTTTAAAAATAGTTTACTAACTTTTCACGAAGACAGACACCAAGATTGAAATATAACAAACAGTCAGGAACTGAACACATTGAAATCTGTAACATACCCACAGCACCAACCTAGCTCATAAAAACCACTGTGGTAGAGTCACGTAAAAATATTTTACGTTGCCACGACCTCTAGCAAGTTCTACGTTCCGTTGTCGGTGAGGTAACCGGTACCCACTTTATTAGAACATGTAGCAAATGTCCATGGGCGACGGTGCTTAACATCAGGTGAACCGCGTTTCGCTTGCCGCCTTCTCCCACACAAGTTTAGAAAGAAGAAAGAAAGAAACATTTATTTGGCACATAATAACAAAAAAAATAGAATAGATGCTACAAACTAAATACCTTTAATTAAAATGAACCAAATTGGTCACCACTCAGCTTCATATCACGAAGTTGACAACCTTCGTGAATGCTGGTTTTCAGTGGAACCTTGCGGGAAAGAGACATACATAGTATAAAGTTAGTTTCAGCCTTGCGTATATTTTCCGTGTTTCCCTTGTTTATATTCGGTCTACTTCAGGCTGCAACTGCTCGTCCCTGGGTTCGGAGAGCAACGCGTGCGACATCCGGACGGGGCAGTGCCGCTGCAAGCCCCACGTCACCGGCCGCGCCTGCGACACCTGTGAGGTATCCGTCTCTTTCTTTTTTCTCTTTTATCTCTTTCAGGTTAATTTTGAACGGATAGGCACAACCCCAGCTAAAGCAACAGTTTATTGGGTAAATTTTTTTCTCTCTTATTTCTTTCTCTTTTGCAGCGACGATCCAGCAGGTTAATTTTGAACGGACGGACGCAACCCCGTCTAAGGCGACAGTTTATTGGGTACACAAATATCCCGTGTCGGATCAAACCCACAACAGGAGACTCATACTAATTGGCTAGGTGGACATCGCATCAGATGTGCCATATGAAACCAACATTGTAGTTTCATTTTATAGAGTAAATCGAGATAGATACCCGTCTCGCCAGTCTCAATACCGTAGTAAGTATACAAAAGTAAGATACAAGTTATACAAGTCTCATTTTATTACATGTACGCGATGCAAGCCTAGTTGTTCCCATTATAGTATATTACTGACAAATAATTTAACGGGAAACCAGAGACATTCGTCATTGTGTCATCGGCTTAGTTGAATGCCAGAAATCTAGATTTACGACGCACAACTGCGACACGCCTCGAACGCCTAATTCGCGTTCGAAGTGGTGCCGCACTTTCCGCGACGTAATCCGAAATAGCGCACAGAATGGCGTCCAAAATGGCATCCAAAATGGCGACGAAAGCAGTGTAACACCAGGCGGGAGAGACGGCCGCCAATTATCAACAATTACACGCGCCCGCCGTAAATCGCGCGCCGTTAGGGCCGCATCGTGCTTTATAACCGGGGAAATGTCAACGAGACATTCCTGAGAAAGTCGCCGGAGAACCGTTTCACGGAGCGGGAAGGAAACATTCCCCTTGGGTGGTCATTATGTATTTTTTTCTAATCTCACGGATTCATCGTACTACATAAGATCTCATGAAATGTGTATGCAATTGTAGATGTATACCATCAGAAAAGATACAATGAAAAAGTGATAATTTACGTTACATAGAAATGATTTAATGAAGCAATTGTAGGAAGGACTTGTAAATTAAATACGGCATAAATTTAACTGTCCTTCGGTAAATGTGGATCTTCACCTCTGTAGCAATTATATTTTGACAGGCATATTTAGACTTTGTGCTCCGTTGATAGCCAACTTGGCTCTTCTCCAATCTTTAGACTCGGTTGTCCTTTACTGTACCTATAATTCCACCCTTTACGAATGCATACACGTTTTTTGTGGGGACAAAGAACATTTTACGTCTGCCGTCACTGTACGTAATTTGGAATGAAAACATATGAAAACTCACAATGACGTGCGTGCCTTATGAGTGCCGAAGTCGAGGGGCCTACGGGCCTTTAAGTGATCTGACATCAGCGACGACGAATATGTTATTTATGGGCTGGGAGCGGTGAGAGATAACCGGGCGGCAGATGTGGCTCTCTTATACGTGGTGTATTGGTGTTTTGAAGGTGAACGGGTGGACATCGGCAACACCTAAGGAGTTTCAGTTGCGATAACAACCTTTAAATAAAAGGAGGCCCCGGCTACCTCACTCACCAGACGAAATGTGAATGTAATAGTACTTTTTTTTTTTCAAAGCTGGCCAGCACTTGACTGCCATCCCACCTGATGGTATGTTCATTGCAGTTTCCTTCGTCGACGAAGACGATACTAAGGTGGTAATATTTGAGAGAAGACATTTCGTTCATGCGACTTTTTCTTAGCCAGTTTTGTCTCTGGATAGATCTTTATTAGTAAGGCTTATGTTCCACATGTAATGTACATACAAAAAAGGCTGTATAAATGTGATTTGTTACACTACAATAAACAACCGGTGTTAGACAAACATTGCCTTTGACAAGTAGCCGATTCGCGGCAAGCTCTCTTGCACTTAACTCTTTCCCGGGTCGGCAATCAAAAGGATATGAATTACAGTTAACACAATGTGGCGTGACAGCAACTGAGATTGATCGGTGTGCGGTGGGCGGCTTGGCCCCACACGCTTTGTTGACGCTCCAATTGTCACATAAATTCATGTTACAAGGGCCCGCGATTATTTTCAATGAATCCATCCAAAGTTGACCTTATTGTCTTGTATATTGATTTGCCCAAGATTAAATATGTATTTTATAATTCTTGGCTTTGAACGAGCATGAAAGTTCTATAATAGCCAGTATCACATTCCTACCAGAAATATAAAGAGGTAATGTAGAGAGACTTATGCCCGGTTGCCGAAACACTGATCATCGTAGATGTCAAATGGCTTTTCACATTTCATTTTAGTCGCCAAAATATGGTTAAACTCTATGAATTGACCAGAATGATCTTCTTAATGATCAGAATGATCAATTCAAAGAGTTTACCCATCCTTTTGGCCACTCAAATGACATTTAAAAAGCCATTTGACAGCTGATTAGTTGACAGCTACGATGATCAGTGTTTCAGAAACCGGGCGTTAGTAATTTATAATTGAAATAGTTTGAACACGACCTCACGTCTGTTCCAACAGCAAAGCATTAATTGTTTTAGTATTCATAGGCATATCAAAACAGATAACTTTAAACCAATGGGTTCTATGTGCCTACTTAAGACAGTGGGCTACCACCTTAATTCCGCGATTCCTCCCAACCTTCCTATGCGTGGTTTGGTACAGAACGAAGGTTGAGCAAGTAGTCGCTGTTGCAGGAGGGCTACTGGGGCCTGGAGCGCGGCGGGTGCAGGCGGTGCGAGTGCGGCGCTGGCGCGGCGGCGTGCGAGCCTGCCACGGGCGCGTGCGCGTGCGCCCTCGGCGTGGGCGGCGCCCGCTGCGACCGCTGCCTGCCCGGCTACTACGGCTTCGGCCCGGCGGGGTGCTTGCGTGAGTTGCACACGTAATTCCACACCCCTCAGAAAGTACCCCCAAGTAAAGGAAGACAGCTTAATAATAGCTATCTGTTACTGTGACCGACAGATAGAGACTGGGGTGAATTTATAAGGATTCGGTTTTGTTTTGTTTTATGTGGGAAGGTGGCAAGCGAGCTGGTGGTTCACGTGATGTTAAGTGATAACCGCCGCTCAGGGACATTTGCAACACCCTTAGATTTGCAGATGCGTTGCCTTATAATAAAGTGGGCCCCGGCTACCTCACTCACCAGATGAAACGCAGAAGTATGAAACTTTAAGTTCACGCCGGTTTTCTGTGAGATTCTGGTACTTACCAGACGGACCTAACTATTCGTGCAACAGTGAACACTGTTCCGCGACCCTACCACAGTTAAACTTAAAACTAAAGGAAGACAGTTATGAACTAGAGAAAGACAACTAAATAATAACTAACTGTAACTATGACCAACAGATAGACTGTTGTGACTTTATAAGGATTTCGTTATTCCATCGGACGTTAAATCGCAAAATGATGGTCAGATTTAAGAAAAATCTCACCGTGAGATTATCCGCTTAGCTTTGTTGGTAAAGCGTCGGGGTACGAAACCGGAAGACGCGGTTTCGAACCCCGCAGCGCCGAAAGTTTTTGTCCCTTTATCTATATAAAAGACATTGCGAGATTCATTTAGAGTACAAGAACTGGAAACTGAGTAGACTCGAAAATAAAATTAATCACAAATATTAAAAGTCAACGATAAATTTCACAAAGAAACCGCATAATGCGTTCATTGTAAGCTCATTTATTAAGATAATATTGAAGCTATTGAAGCGTGCTATTACTCTTTGAAAAGGCGGCGGTGCCAAGCTCTGCTTTTATTGTACTTCTGTTTGCTGGTAGCATGTCCTGCGTGTGCGGAAGGCAAGGTATGCTCGTCGGCGAACGGACGATGCGTTTGCCCAGCCCGGACGCGTGGCCCGGGATGCTCCCAATGCGCCAAGGGCTACTGGGGCCGTGCGCACGGCTGCCTACCGTGCACCTGTGGACCTGGAGCTCTGTCCTGTAAGTGGTAGTTATTGAAATTAGATTCGCATCAAACATTCAAAAATCTGAATAAATAAGACCTTGGGTGTGATATGATGATTCGGAGGAATGTTGTCAATTTGACAATATCACTGACTAAACTACATCTGAGTATTTAAATTATTTACCAGACCGTACGAGTAATCGTGCATTTATTGTATAAATAATGGTATTGATAACTTTACTAAGCTTCCACCAATAAACACGTGATCCCGTGTGACAATAGTGTAGGGCTAATAACATGTCCGCTTTCCAAAAGCGCATATATTTAGAAGAACGACCAGAGAACGCCTCATTGCAGCGACATGCGACCCGGTGTCGGGGCAGTGCGGCTGCCGGCTTGGCTGGAGTGGCAGGAACTGTGACAGATGCTCCCCCGGCCACTTCGGGCCGAGGTGCCGCCCTTGTGGGTGCGTTAGCGCAGGGACGAGGGGCTGCCGCGAGGGCGTCTGCCCCTGCGACGACTCGGGGCGGTGCCCGTGCAAGGTACGTACGCGGCTGAACTTCTGCGCTTCACTAGCATGGATAGGTCGATAAGTAACTTTGTGAACAAAAGCAACATCTTGATTGGACCAGTTGCATGCTGCAAAATAATGACATCGATGGCAATCTGCAACGTTTTTGATAGGTAGTGTGATAACATGATCTTCCCTGATAAGTCAATTCTGACATTAGACGATAGTAGGCCGATAAGTCACGCTTATCTTGACCTGTAGAACGTCCTAAACTGATCGGTTAAATGCAACAAATATAATATATACATCGATAGCAATCTGCAATGGCTTTGATAGCGTGATATAGCGCTTTAGTCGCTTTAGCCGTGATAGCTCAGTGTCCGGGCGCTCACCTTTAATTTAATATACTCGAGCAACCTGAGTTCGATCCCCGGTGCCAGCACCAATGAAGTTATTAACTTTAAGTGCTCACTTATCACGTGCTCCTCGGTGAAGGAAAACATCGTGAGTAAACCTGCATATTTTCGAAATAATAAAAAAAAAATATTTCGAAGATATGTGAAGTCCGCCAATAACCAGTGGTACCGCGTGGTGAACTATGCCCTGATACCCTCGCTATAGAGGAGGCCTTTGCCCAGCAGTGGGACATGCATAGGCTGTTACTTTACTACTTTACTTTACTATAGTGCTTTTCCCTGATGAGCCAATTCTGAAATTAGACGATAGTAGGTCGATAAATAGTAGTAATGCTAGATGATGTAGGTCGATAAGTAACGATTGTCTTGACTTGTAGCAACGTCCTGAATTGAGCAGTTACATGCGACAAATATAATAACATCGATAGCAATGTGCAATGGGCTTTGATAGAGAATGATAAAGTGATTTTCCCTGAGGAGCATATTCTGACATTAGATAATTGTCAATCGAATCAAGGTTTAAGGAGTATTGTAACCTTCTATTTACTTTTTATTGTGATGCGTGGACTATATAAACGCTGTTTATTGCCGAACGTAGACTCTTATGACTCGAACGAGAAACGTTAAGTAGAGAAACAATTCCTGATTAATTGACTTCATCTTTTGTTGGATCAACAAGAACTGAGTAGGATTTCATGTAACAGACAGTAATATGTTCCTGTGCCTTTGCGGAGTTTAAATACGAGAAAATTGTATGATTTTAAATGCAAATCATAAACTTAGGGAGTACTTCATTCTCATTCAAATCAGACGTTCGTAATGCCGCGTGACTTATACTGCCACATTGGTACATCACTCCTGACAGTCGAAACACGTCCGCGTTTTTTGCGCTAAACACAACGTGGGCGTCAAAGTGTAAAAAAAATATTTAATTCTAATTTTTACCGCTCGAAAATATGATTGGCAGGTCGTTAAAAAAAACCATTCGCGCGCCGTGTCTTAAACGTAGAAAAAATGGGTAGATGAACGTCACTTCCAGCGTCAGATCCTTTTTGAAATCTTGTTTTGATTCCTCGGTCAATAGTACTTGTTAATTTTTTAAGTTACCTTCTAAGGATTCAAGACGATATAATTTTTTAAAATCTTTAATTAACCTTAACCTAAACTTTAATTTTTTGATTGCTAATGTTTCGAATGTTTTGCAACGTCTCTGTATTCAGTACGTTGATATGTTTTATATTCATACGTATTTATAATATTGATTCATTGTACAAGACACTTATATTTAGTTACTTGAACTACAACACAATGAAACCGTTTTGTCAGTTTGTTTATTTCTGACCAATCTGTTTCACAAAACGCTCTTCGCACAATCAACTCGTTTAAAATTAAATCGTTAACGTTATATAATTTCATCTTCGAAATGAAATTGATATAACAACCATGCTTCAATTAACAATTTAATTAAGTATCTTTACTTGTGTACAGATGGTATTAGGGTACAGTGCACCACGCGACCCGACTACGTATCTTTTGTTATTATTTCGGAAACATGCAAGTTTCCTCATGACATTTTCCTTCACTTCAGAGCACTCAATAGTCAGTGCTAAAAACTAACAATTTCATCGGTACCGGCACCTGGGATCGAATTCAGGTTGCTCCAGTATATTGAATTGAAAACGAGCGCCCGTACAATTAGCTATCAGGGGGGGGGGGGGGGGGGGGGGGGGGGGGGGGGGGGGGGGGGGGGGGGGGCGGCGGCCCTAAATTAAGCCAAATTAAGCTAAATTAAGCCACTGTATATTGAATTGAAAACGAGCGCCCGTACAATTAGCTATCACGGCTCCTAAATTAAGCCAAATTAAGCTAAATTAAGCCACTGTATATTGAATTGAAAACGAGCGCCCGTACAATTAGCTATCACGGCTCCTAAATTAAGCCAAATTAAGCCACTGTATATTGAATTGAAAACGAGCGCCCGTACAATTAGCTATCACGGCTCCTAAATTAAGCCAAATTAAGCTAAATTAAGCCACTGTATATTGAATTGAAAACGAGCGCCCGTACAATTAGCTATCACGGCTCCTAAATTAAGCCAAATTAAGCTAAATTAAGCCACTGTATATTGAATTGAAAACGAGCGCCCGTACAATTAGCTATCACGGCTCCTAAATTAACCCATGTCCATAACCAGGTAAACGTTGTGGGCGACAAATGCGACGCTTGCTTGGAGGGGACATTCGGGCTGTCTGAGGACAACCCCTCAGGGTGCACGGCCTGTTTCTGCTTCGGGCGAAGCGCCCAGTGCACTCAGGCGGCGGTGACGCGCGCCGCACTCCACGCGCCCGCGCCCCTCCACCTCACCCTACTGCGCGGCGAGGCCATCACTAATGTAAGTTATTATGGAGATAAAGATATAATTCAGGAGTGTTTTATGTAAAAATATGGAAAGCGAACTGGCGGTTCGCCTGATGTTAAGTGATTAACGCCGCCTGTAGGATTGCAAATGCATTGCCGCTTTTAAATGAAGTGGGCCCCGGTCACTCACCAGACGAAAGGCAGAAGTATAACTCTTCAACTTCGCGTCGGTCTTCTGTGAGCTTCTTTTTGAAATCTGAAACTCTATTCCTTGCTAGAGGATCTGATATACTAAGCTACCGAATAGTCCACTGACAAATTATTACACGAGAAAGGCGTACTCGCAGTACCATACACTCTAAGAAAAGGGCTGCTGAAAACCTACGGAATCAGTAGACAATACGTAGTTGACTAAAGTTGATTTTAAGTTGTTGACTAACCTTAAACCCGATTGTATAAACAATTTAAATATATGAACTAAGGATCATACATTCGTACTGGCCATCGCAGTGTAGGACGAACCCCACGAGATGGAGTGACGACCTCTGCAAATGTGCGGGAAGTCGATGGATGCAGGTGGCTCAGGATCATGCTTCGTGGCAGTCTGTGGGGTGGCCTATGTTCAGCAGTGGACTCAAACAGGCTGAAATAATGATGACTAAGGATAATAAGAGAAGACCGTTAGGGGTTTAGAAAAGGAGTTGAAAGAAGTAAGGAGGAGAAAGAGAGAAAGGAAAAATATATATCGTTTCACACTTTGTCCGCCAGATGGACCAAAACTCGCTGCTGGCCGTCCACTCGCACTTCCCGGACGCCACGATAGCCGTGCCCTGGCCTCCGGTGCCCGTGTACGTGGAGCTGGGCGAGCTGTTCCTCGGGGACCGCGTCATGTCTTACGGCGGCGCGCTCCGGTTCAGGGTCGAGGAGGAGGGCGGCGAGGAGCTGCCGCCGGGATCCCTGGACCGGTTCCCGCTGGTCAGACTGTACGGGCGGAATCTCGTGCTGGACTATTACGAGGTGAGTGGTTAAAGATATATCAGGCTTGCAAGAGAGTATGATCATTAAATTCTGTGTGAACTATAGTGAGATGAATAGCTCCTTTGTACAGAGAGAATTTTGGGAAACACATAACTGACCTGATGCTGCACAAAAAGCTTTAAAGTACTGACCACTACCGGCAGAACTCTCCGCTCCATGTCAATACTATTCAGACAAGCAGGTTGCTTTTTTATGAAACATACCTTGACCACAATGCAAGTGTTACTACTGGATATATTATACTTTACCGCATTTAAATAAGATGGCCAGATACTGCAATTATACCATATTTAAAAAGGATTACACTGAACAATCACAGCTACTGTGGCGGGATATTTCTGAAAGCCAGACATTTGTTTAGTCCATTAGAATTCGAATCAGGACGCAGTCTCAATAGTTACATTGAAGGGGGCAACTTAAAAAAGAGTAATGTTGTAAAGTTGTAGATGCGTTGCCTTTGAATTAAGTGTGCCCCGACTACCTTACACACCAGGCGAAACGCAGAAGTATATCCACCTGACGCAAGTCTTCTGTGAGGTCGACTGCTGCATGGCCCAGCACACTTTGCCCTTCTGTGCCAGCGCGTGGCGGCGGTGAACGGGTCGCACGCGGTGTGGCTGCACGAGTCGCTGTGGCGGGTGCGCGGCGGGGGCGCGGCGTCGCGCGGCGCCCTGATGCTCGTGCTGCAGGGGCTCACCAGGCTGCTGCTGCGCGCCTCCACGAGGGCCCCCACCGCCCTGGACCCCGTGCATGTGCTGTGAGTCGTGCTCGTAAACTAGCAGCCTATACGTGTCCCACTGCTGGAAAGGCCTTCCTATGTACAGGTGGTATCAGGGCATAGTCGACCACGCGGCCCCACTGATGGAATGGTGGAATGGCGAATCTTCCACTAGCACATATCTTCGAATTTTATTTCACGATAAGAGATAGAAGGTAGATAAGAAGAAGATCAAAAGGTAATCAACAGATAAGAATAGGACATAGCTTAAATAACAGATTTAGATAATAATGAAGTCAGTAATAGATTACCCCAAGCTTAAAGTACAGAGTATACTACTGCAAAACCAATCTCCAAAGTTTTATCTACAAACATTAATTACGATCAAGATAATTGAAGAGCACAATCCACAGGGTGCTGAAAGTGTCACTAGAGACCGCGGTGCCCGGGTTGAGCCGCGGCGCCCCAGCGCTGGGCGTGGAGCGGTGCGCTTGCCCACGCGGCTACGCGGATGTCTCCTGCCAGCGAGCCGCCGCCGGCTTCTGGCTGCCACCGGCCGACGTGCGGCCCAACAACGTCGGTGGCACCATCGTCATCAACGTGGAGGCGGTGGCACGCCCGTGCGCCTGCAACGGCCGTGCCATCTCCTGCCACCCCGACACTGGGCACTGCTTGGTACGTGCAAAGCGCAGCATGTCATTCGGCATAATTGATGCCGAAGTTATATCTGTTTCATTCATTCCACTAAAAACGTTCCGTCGACAAGAATCCAGATGTCCAGAATATCCGAAGATAAATAATATACATTAAACGCATCCTTGCTTGAAGCATCATACCAATTTATTTGACATTTTTTCTTCGCTCAAGGTAAAATGAACTGGTGCAATTCGATACAATAAACCTTGAGATTGTGGCAAGTGAATAGACGGCTCACCTGACGTTAAATGATTACAACTACAGTTTATGACTCCGTGGCGCAGTTGCGTATTGGCTTCGGCGTCGGGGGTCGTGGGTTCGATTCCCACACGGGACAACTATTTGTGCTACCCACAGATAGTTGTTTCGCATCTGGGTGTTTGTCCATGAATTTTATGTTTGTAAAAAGGTCATTACAACACAGGATAATGTTATCCTAAAATGAGGGAAACGTTTAAAAAATAAATCAACCACCCATCGACATCTATTGATTCTATTAGATTGCTGAAGCGTTGCCAAGTTTAAGAGTAGACAGTTAATGTAGTTACTTAATAAGAATTATATAATTAATAAGAAACGCCAAAGTGTACTTCTACTGCACTCCCATCTTCTTTTAGGCTGTAGTGCATCCCGGGACAAGCTTGCCTAAAAAGATAATGAATGATATATGAAGATAATGTCTCTCTTAGAACTGCACTAGCGGTACGGATGGGCCGCACTGCGAACGCTGCGCCGCTGGCTACTACGGCTCTCCAGATGCTGCTGGTGGTTGCCAGCCCTGCGCTTGTCCCACACGCTCCAGAAACTTCGCTTCCACATGCGCTCTGGTAGGGGGCACGCTGCGCTGTAGGTGCATGCCAGGTATGTATCTAAACACGACATATTGATCTATTGTATCTTTAGATATACGGTGATTATTGTGGTCTACCATACTTAGTACAATTTGAAATTAATAATTATGATATGGGTGACACAAATATACAGCTTCACCTCACTAAAAGGAAAGACTTTTTGAAAGTACTCTAATTTCAGCTGGTTGACACTCTCTGACAGTCAATTACATGAATATTTCAATTTGCTTGCAGTAAAAAACTACAATATTTAGTTCTACTACAACTATGCTTACTAAACCTACCAGTCACAAACGCGTTAAGATCAGTTGCTCACCTCGTTATTTAATAGGTTTAGTAAAAAGTAATAAGAACTAAAAAGATATAAAAGTAGTGAGAGTTTAACAATCAAAGTTCAGCTTGTTGAAATGTATAACAAACTTGTGTATAGCACTAATTAAATAGTAAAAAATATTTAAACAATGTATTAAAAGAAAATGAAACGCTAGCTAGTAATAGCCAAATCTACAATGGCGAGAAGACTTGCGCAGAACCGTTCACGTCGCAGTTGAAGACTTGTGCAGTACGTGCATGCGTTGAAAGGGGCGCTCCGCCCGCAGGTCACAGCGGGGCGGCGTGCGAGTCGTGCGCGGCGGGATTCCGTCGCGCGGCGGGGGGCGGGTGCGCCCCCTGCTCGTGTGACCCGCGCGGATCCCTGACGGGGCGGTGCGACGCGCGCGCCCTCTGCCGCTGCAGGCCCTTCGCGGCCGGCGACAGGTGCCACCGCTGCGCCCTGCCCAGGCACTACCTCGACGAGGACGGATGCAAACGTATGTGGGATTTTTTTTATTATTATTATATGCGAGAACGTGACCGGCGAGGTGGCGGTTCGTCTAATGTAGGTAATAACCACCGATGACTAACACTTGAAACACCCGTAGAGTTGCAGATGCGTTGCCACTTTAAGCGGGTCCCGGCTACCTCACTCGCCAGAAGTATAACACTTCCATTTCACTCTGGTCTTTTGTGAGGTCGCGGACCCGGATGGACCTGCCCATTCGTGCAACAGCCGTAGCTGTTGCGTGGCCTTAACGCAGTTAATTATTTAATATTGTTATATGCCTCAAATATTAACATTTTTCAAGCATCTATGAAAATTGCCCCCCAAACAATATTGCCAGAAGATAAAAGTTTTGAACGGTGATTTCGTTATCTTCTTTGTGTTCTGAAATGTGGACACACACCGCACGACCATTTGAAAAGCTCAGAATCGCTGATTTACATTAGGGCTATGTTCGCCGTCCCTTAATGAATTGTATTTGCAATAGGGGGCAAGTTATAGAGAGTGGACTGCGTCTCGGTAAACTGGGAGTCAGATGCCTCCTGGCCAGAAACGAAGGCAAAGAGTCTGCTAGACGGACACAGGAAATATATACATTTTCAATAGTGAACTGATGCATTTTGGTATTGTCATAACTTGAGATTATGCGTTACTTTCTGTTGACTGGCAAAACTCTCGCTTGCTAACTCTACGTTCAACGTGTTAAAGGTGTTCCCGAATAAAATTAATCATTAATTAATTAATTATATCATATTTTATTGCAAATTACAACAGGTAATGGCTATGATTATCAAAGATGTGATTAGTCCTGATACTCTTTTTAGTACCTCATCAGATCGTGCTACATCCTTATGTATATGTCCATTAAATATACCCTTAAAACCTTTCTTAAGTTTTACGTTAAATTTTCGAACCTTAGATTTATAAATTTCACAAAACTTGTAATTTTTTAGCTTGCGACAACTGCACACAAACGCTACTGGACACGGCGGAAAGCCTCACCGCCGAGCTGCGCGCTCGCGCCGATTTGACCGAGCTGAGCCGAATACCGCAGCCGTTTCCTGCAATAAGAGAATACTCTAAAAACGCGTCCACGCTGCGCAGCGACCTCCATGAGCTGAAGAAGGATATAGAACAGTCTAGAAACATCGAGAACGCCGTCAACGCCATGGAGGGGAGGGAGCACGAGACCTTTACAATGGCGAACAGAGTGAAAACGGAAGCAGAGAGAAGGGAAAAGGAAGCTAGGTACCTAAGCCTGGAGAGTATGAGCTGGTTGGAGGAGGTCCTGAAGCAACGGCGGCTGCTGGGGGAGCAGGTGGCTGTGTTGGACGATTTCGCCAAGGGTGAGAAGCATTTGAGCGCTCACCGAGCCATCAAAGAGGCGCGACATCTGCTGAAGAATATCAGGGAGATCGTATTGTCCGATTACATGGCCGGAGCTTCGGATGTATCCGACTCGGTAAGCTTGCTTTTTCCGTAATTGAAAGGCTTGTACTGAACTAGTGTTTTCAGCGTTATAACTGTCACTATACTAACTACTATGTTATAATCACCCTACTTAATAACAGACTATATGTGCCATCGCCATTTTTTTTCATCTTAAAACATACTCAAAATCATCAAAAATCAAATTGTCACGTTTACAACATCCTTCTCTAACTCCGTTTCTTCTTTAATATAATCACTGGGATTGAGCCGCATCAGCAAAAAAAACAGAAAGATCAGAATATATCGCTTGAATGGACCAGTTATTCCATTTATCCAAACCCATTATTGTATTAAATCGATCGCCTCTATTGTTCCTGCAGGCAAATCTGCAATCAACGTCGGTGCAAGAGTACGACTACCGGATAGAGGACGTGTACAAGCGGCTGCGCAAGTTGCAGACGTCGCTCGACGAGTGGGAGAGGAAGGCGGACGAGCTGCCGCGCCTCGCCGACGTGGTGTGGACTGCGGGGGACGCCGTAGCCGAACTGAGGAAGCAGGTCACGCCGCGACTGGCCCACATAAGCGACGTCGGATTGCGTTGTCGTCTCGTATTGGAAGTAAGCAACTCTGAGTATTCCAATTCGTTATTCGTTAATCCACTACTTTATGATGTTAACTGCTGCGGAACCATACTAAAAACACAAAGATGTACCTATCTCTAAATCAGATACACTTTTCTGATATTGTTATTTCTAGGATAAATATTTCAATGGCAGTTAAATGTAGCATATATAGCCAGCATAATTCTCGAGAAATGACAAGTAAAGTTAACTTATTCGTAAAGTGGTGTGGTAGACTGTAACAATATTATATATAACGCAATAGTATATATAACAAATGGGTGGGTCCGTCCACGACCTCGCAGAAGACCAGCGTGAAGTGGAAAAATAAATGCTATTTCAAGTTTAAGAGCATAACTTAACTATTATAACTTTAATTCAGAGTCTTTTCTAGCGACATATTTCAACAAAACATTAAAAATGATAACAGACAAATGATATCTCTCCTTGTCTATTTCAGGACATCTCAAACCTATCGACTAACAACATAACGGATGAAACGAGATCGCTGCTGCTGCAAACGCACAATCTGGCTGTGGGCTTCCCCAACCTCAGGGACCAGCTGGTTGCGTTGACTAACGCCGCTGAAGAGAAGGAGGGGATACTCTACAGCCTAACGCCGGCCTACAAGCAGAAGTACTTGGAAGCCGTGGAGAAACACGCGGCCGAATTGGGGGCCAAGGCCAAGGAGTACAAAAGGTGACATTATTATTTGTTTTGTCCTCACTGGAATCATTAAAGGTTTACCTTTATACGTTAATGCACTATTCATAGAAAACTTGAAATATGTTAGTAGTGCATTTATTTACTGTTATTTTTTACTATTTTATGTTACTGTGTTACTATCAGCTGTGATAAGAATGATCAATTCAAAGAGTTTAACCATCCATTTGGCAACTCAAATGACATTTGAAACGTCATTTGACAGCTGATTAGTTAATTTATTCTTTATCTATAATTTATTCTACGATGATCAGTGTTTCAGAAACCGGGCGTTAATGTTTCAGTTATTAATTTAATCATATCAATTGACAAACAAATTCAAAACAACTAGTTAATTCAATTTTATAATGAAGCATTTCTTGCCTATCATTCAGAGGTGGAAGTAGTCATTATTTAATCCCGTTTGTCGCAATTCTTAAACAACTAACGAGATAACTAATAAGCGCATAGTGTAAGCACAAAGCACTATTTTGATAATAGTCCTTTTTTTTTTTTTTTTTTTTTTTTTTTTTTTTTTTTTTTTTTTTTTTTTTTCGGAAAAACCATATTCGAATGCACTCTGTCATATTTATTTTATCATTAACCGTGTCCAGCCTTTTCGCGGGGACGAGGGCGGTGGCGTCGGCCGGCGTGCAAGCGGCCCGCGCGTGGGCAGAGGTGGCAGAGGGCGTGCGCGCCGCTGCCACCGCTGCCACGGCTGCCACGAGCGCGGCGGACGCCGCCGCCGTGTTGGCGCGCGGCCCCAACCCGCTCGTCCACACCGCTCGGAGGGAGCTCCGCGCCTCCGAGGCTCTCAAGGAGAGGGGCGCCGCGGTCCTGGCCAGAGCTGATGGTATGTCTTTTAGAGTAAAAGGATTGGTGCGGTAAGAGAATGTTATTTACGCTAGATAGGTTTTTAAGGCGCCGCTGTATGCAGTGAATTTTTAACAATTTGAGTGGTGCAGTATGAGTAAGCGGAGGAGGGGTAACGCCGCTTGGCGGCGCGCAGCGCGCAAGTTTCGTCGACGCGCCGCTAGACCATTCATAACCTAGGGTGTAGTGATGGGCCGTAGGCCACTATCGATAGTATCATGGAAGGCTTTCGAAAATGTACACAGATGATCCCTATAACATATTTTATAGACCATGATTGTATTTTACTTTTATATTATAATAGGAATATTAATAAACAAACAAATATAAAGTATGAGAAAGCAATCAACAATTTTAGAAAATCCTCTTCCTGTTTATTATTATTTTTTTAATTAAATGGAAAAGGAATTGATTAAAAATACATCTAAAAATCAAATAAATTAATAAAGGCACTTTACGCTGGCCTTCTGTGAGGTCGTGGTCCTTACCCGAACGGGCCTGCTCATTTGTGCAACAGTCGAGGCTGCTGCGTGGCCCTACCACCGTAAAAATATTATTATTTACGATATTTTCCTTTTAAAAGAGTTGAGAAGACAGCTGGAGCAAGCCCGCCGTGGGACGGACGTAGTGAGCGTGGAGCTGCGGGCGCTCGGCTGGAAGGAGCGCGCCTTGGGGGGAGGGGGGAGTGGGGACGGGAGCGAAGGTAAACATCGTGAAGGCACTCTTCACAATATTATTTATTTTTTAAAAAGGGTCATTCATATAGAAAGTCCATCGCTTCGGAATCAAAATTAAAAGTAAATAAAAGGCTATGATGTTGTAGAATGGCAATAGAGAAGGATAATCGGTATTAAAATACGTTTTTTTTTTCATGTGACAATATGGCAAACGAGCTGGCGGTTCACCTGATGTTAAGTGATAAACGCCGCCCTTGGGCATTGGGTTGGGAACACCCGTAGGGTTGCAGATGCGTTACCACCTATAAATAAAGTGGGCCTCGGCTACCTCACTCACCAGACGAAACGCAGAAGTGCAACACTTCAACTTCACGCCGGTCTCCTGCGAGGTCGTGGTACTCACCCGGATGAGCCTGCCCACTCGCGCAACAGCGAACACTTGCATGGTCCTACCATAGTATTCGCGTAAGCGAGACAGAGAGGGAGATAGAAGCTGAGTTCGATCTTGAGCAGCGGGCGCGCGTGTTTGTGTGCGTGAAAGAGAGATAGCTACAAAAAAACGTGAGTGGGGTCGGACCTTGTTGAGAAAGCGCTCGTGTGCAGTGCGCGAGCAGCTGTCGGCGGCGGGGGCGCAGGCGGACCGCGTGTTCGTGGCGGCGCGCGCGCTGTACGACGAGGCGGCCGAGCTGCGGCGGCGGGTGCGCTACCAGCTGCGCCGGCGGCTGGCGGACCTGCAGCGGCTGGGGGACACCGCGCTCGGCGCCGCCCAGGAGCACGGTGAGAAACCGGATTGGGTGGGATCATGTGCTGCGTAGGAGCACGGTAAGGCCCTTTGAGCGGGGTTGGGTGATTGGTGCAGCCGGATTGGGTGAACGGTAGTTGGTGAACGGTTGGAGCACGGTAAGACACTTTGAGCGGGGTTGGGTGATTGGTGCGGTCGGATTGGGTGGGAAGATGTGCTGCGTAAGAGCACGGTAAGACCCTAGAAGCGGATGCTGGTGCAGTCGAATTGGGAAGATGCCGCAGACCGCTGTTGTGTAGGACGACCGGGCGACTGCGAGACGAGAAGGAACGGCAAAGGCTCGATTTTCGTATGTCCTTGCACACCCGTTGCGTATAGAAACATGCAGGTGAATGAACGGTGCGCCCGGGCCGCCAGTGTCGCAGATCCGGGGCAACACGCTGCGCGGGGCGGAGGTGGCGGAGGCGCTGGCGGCGGCCGCGGCGGCCAGGGCCCGGGAGCACTCCGCCGCCGCCGCCGCCCTGGACCCCGCCCTCAGCTCGCTGCGGCACCGCGTCGCCAGGGCCCGCCACGCCGCCGGCTCGGTGAGTACACCACGGCATATCTTCACAGGCGCACGTTGGCCACTTTGTAGGGCCTTGTAGCAAATGTATATGTAAGCAGATGGCAAGTCGAAATATCTTTATTCAATACACGCTTATTTTAAGGTTTCATTGAGCGTCGAAATAGTACCACTGGTTCACTAAACCAGACCCGTCCAGAGAAGAACCGGCAAGAAACTCTGCGGTCTTCTTATTTTTCTTATCATTATATAAGTATAAAATCAGCAGCAGTCAGGGGACTTGCACGTGCAGAGCAAGAGTCATTTCCAAACAATCTTGTCCTCAATATATTTTTCGATTATAATAAGCCCTTTCCATTAGTGTACTCGTAGCTTTTACAAAATATTTGAAATTAAAATATGTAGAAAAAGTGCGAAAAGATTGTCGCCGTTGTGGGAATCGAACCCACGTCTCCGGCATTCGCGGCCTGGCGCTCTAGTCACTGAGCTAAACGGCTGATTGCCACACCGACGAAAACCTTAACGCCTTCTTCTACATTGTTTTCTTAGCATTTGAAGCAATGCTTGGCGCCATCTACTGTTATATCCTTTCCAGCATACAAACAATTTCGAATATCGTTTTACAACGATAATTCGAACGAGAAATGTCGCCATTGCTTTTTTTTTAGAAATTAAAATTGTTTATAGTGCTAATGTTCAATCTTAAGTGCAAAGATTAGCACTATAAACAATTTTAATTTCTATTTGAAATTAGTTAATTATTAGATTTAGTTTTGTCTACTTCCAATATACGCCGTCTAGAAACAAATTATAACCTGAAAAATTTCCACTCATAATATGTCTTGTTGAAAACAGCTTAATAGGTTTTCTCGCATCAATTTACTAGCGAATAAATAATTTTCTTTCGATTGTATGGTCAGATATCGGTGTCGGTGACGTCACCCGCGGGGGCGGCGGGGGCGGCGGGGGCGGCGGGGGCGGGGTGCGCGCGCGCCTTCCACGTGTCTGGGGGCGGCAGCGTGACGCGACTGGCGCTCGCCGTCTCCTTCGACCACGCCGTGAGGAACGGCACCCTGCTGATGCTGGAAGACCAGGTCGGTGCAAAGCAACTGATCCCTTGGCCCTGTATGCTCGTAATCTAACCGAGCTCGGTATCCTGCAAGACCTGCGTGAGGTAGAAGTGTTACACTTCTGGCTTTTGTCTGATGATTGAGGTAGCCGGAACCCACTTCATTAAAAGGTGGCAACGTGGCTTGGCACCTTCTCACATTAAAAAAAACATGTGTGTACTTATGTACGCACGTAAGAAGTTATACTTCTCTAGCGTGATGACATTAAATGCAATTCATAATGGTTTATTCAAATAACTTTGGTAAATGTCAAAAAGTGTTATTTATTTTAAAATAATGTCGATTTTTAAGTGTATTTTTGCGCGCGCATCGTAAAAAGAAGTAGGTAACTTCAAAATGCTAAAATTATAATGGCAAAACTTTCGTTTTTCACTTCGCTTTAAGATCTCGTTTGAAAGCCGCAGAGTTTTCGCAGGAGTCGGAGCGCTTTATGAAGCTCGCCGTGGAGAAGGAGAGGCTACTCCTGACGTGGGACGTGGGCTCCGGGCGAGGGGTGGTAATCCACCCGGAGCGTTTGCAGCCCACACACGACGATGCCGACCACTTGTCGTATCGAATAGAAATCGAGAGGTCAGTGGAGACATGTAATGGGTCAACATGAACTCGATGCTCGCACAATGGCGATAATATTTTCGTACTTTTTCTACAAAGATTAATGTTCAATCTTAAGTGCAGAGATTTGAACTATAAGAAGCAATGGTGACATCTCTAGTTCGAATCGATATGTTCGTAATTGTTCGTATACAGGAAAGGATATGACAATGGATGCGTCAAGCATTGCTTCAAATGCTAAATAACAATGGTTATTCGGGCGAAGTGTTCGAACGCGGGCCCCCGCCGCTGCATTAGCAACCCTAGCCGCTTCCAGGGTCTGGAGCGCGGTGCGCCTGCGGGTGGAGCGCGCCGGCGAGGCGGCGGTGGTCAGCGCGAACGGTACGGGCGGCGACGCGGGTGGCGCGCTGGCCGCGGGCCTTCTGTGGCTGGGCGAGCCGGGCGCGCCGCTGCCGGGCTGCGTCCACGCCCTACACGCGGACGACCGCGCCCACGGACTGTGGGCCTTTGCGAGACAGCCGGCGGACGCGCGCTGCGTCGCCTGCACGCACAGGTTAGGCCGCACGCTCCTCGCACCGCCGTTTTTCTTCAGTAATTATTCCCATCCCTAAGATTTAATAAGTCCCAAGCACTGATGTACACAATTTTTGAAACTGTTAAACTTTTAACAATTGTCACAAAGTTTAAAAAAGCTACAAATTTAAGTCACTAGATTTTTTTATTGTAATAGAATTATTTATAACACTTCAAAGTACTCATCAAACGTTCCTTCACAATCGGTCCTTTGTTTGTATATAAATCTTGTGTAGGCTTGTCTTGGTTTTTTTTAATTTATGGATACGGCTAAGTTCAGGCAATATGCCTTTTTCGGCTTAATCTATGCTTGGCTGTTAGATTTATGCTTTTATTTTTATTTATTTATTTGGAACAGTATACATCCAATTAAGTACTATAAAAATAATTTGTACAAACAAGTTTCCTCTAATATATTTTTTTTTATTCAAAAACTGGCCAGCACTTGACTGCCATCCCACCTGATGGTAAGTGGCGATGCTGCCGTTTACGGTAAGCGCGCTAGCTCAGTAGGAACCTATTCACTCTTGCCTTGAAGACGCCAACGTTGTATTCGGACGGAAAGACGGACGCCGGTAGGCTATAATAGCACAATAGTCATGCATGGACAGAAAATTTAAAAACAATTAAAATAAAAAGTGTAATAACAATAAACACTAAGAACAGCAGTAGTAAAAAAGTTTGTGCTTGTGTAACATTCATTTTATTCCCTAACTTAAATGTACATTAGTCGCTTGCGTGTCATGAACACATCGAAATGTCCATGACCATGGTGTATCCAACAGGTGGTACAGCCAGGCGGCCCGCGGCGAGCCAGCGCTGATGTGGTTCGGCGGCGCTGGCTACGCGGAGCTGAGGCGGGCTGGCCTGCGCCCCGCCGACCGCAGACACTTCAGCCTCTCGTTCACCTTCCGCACCAGGGACGAGGACGCCCTCCTCTTCATGGCCCTGGATGAGGCGAATGTGAGTTTCTGTTCCGCAAACTCATCATTTCAGGATTCAAATGGTCGCTGTTAAACATATGCCTTTGAAGACAGCCGCAAACCTTAGACAGTAATCATCCAGTGTGCAGTCACTAACCGCTGTTTCGACGAGATAATCACTTGATATTAATCATTGCATAAACTAAAGTAAGAGACTATAAAGTAAGTAAGAGACTATTTTTTAGAAATGTCCCACAGAGAGTATCAGGGCACAGTCCGCACATGTGGCCCCTGCACTGCGGGTTGGCAGACTTCGCATGTCTTTGAAATATATTGTTATTATATCAAAAATATGCAGGTTTCCTCACGATGTTTTCCGTCACCGCTGAGTTAGAATTTAATTTGGTGCCAGCACCAAGAAAATTTTGTTGGTGACGGCACCGGGATTTGAATTCAGGTTGCTCGGGTAAAAAGCGACAGCCTGGACATTGGGGTATCACTACTTGATTTATCCTACGTTCCCTATTGACTACATGTGCCGCGTAATTTAATAGATATGTAATGCTATCAACGAATAACCAAATTTTAAGCCCAAAACATTTAGAATACCTGGGATATCTGAAAAATAAAAACAAATCGATGCAGCTGTTGGAATTCGAATTTCATCCCAGATAAACATTATTTCAGTGCTTTCAGGGAACTTGCTTACAAAAAGTCATTATTATAAAAATATTTATAAGTAAATAGAGTGACGAAATGACTGTACAAATTTGATTGAAATGTATATTTATTTATTAGCATACAATATGTTTCATTCGGCAAAAATTGACTTCATTTCGAGTATACGATAGACGAGGCAGGAAAAAGCTAGTAAGCCGTACCACGTAGTGCCGAGTCCCGTGACGGTGGGCCAATCGAGTTCGACAATCGTCCCGATCCCGTGTCCAGAACCGCTCGGTGTCCGTGGAGCTGGTCTCGTGCCGCGTGCTGTTCCGCGTGGTGTACGCGCGCTCGCGGCTGGAGATCGCCGCCGGGGGGCGCCACTGCGACGGCAGGCCGGCCCACGTTCAGGCCATACGGGTCTTCGCCGCCAACAAGCTGGAGAAAGGTACCCTCCGTCCAACCAACACGCGCCGGATACACACTGCCCCGTTCGATACACTGCAAAAGAGTATCTTGTATGATTTGTAGACGATACAGGGTGATTTTGTAGACGAAATACATACTTTGACATAATGTGAGCATTCCATAATTCCAAAAAATCTTAATACTTTATTTTGACAAGATATAACTAGAAAAATATAAAAGAATAATAATAATAATTCTTTATTTGCCATAACCAAAAAAAAAGCAAAGAAAAATATACAGAAAAAATATAAACAAACAAAAAAAAATATATAAAATTAACCTATAATACACAAAAATATATAAATTTCATTTTGGCAAAAAGGTAATAAGCTCAGCGATATCTAAGAATTTCTCAGTGCTGATTTTCAGCTTATCCCTTCTTAAAACTTACTACCTACATATTAGATTTACTTACATTTTAAGATTGACAGCGGTAGTTGGCATATTTTTTTCAGTAAGCTCTCAATACTATGATAATAACAATAATGTGCATCTAAAGATTACTACTGTACGGAACAGCAAGGACAATAAGACAAAAAAGATATATATATATATATATATATATATATATATACAAGAAAAACAACCAAAAAAAATTTAATCAAATTACAGTGAAAAATGCGAAAATTAAAAAAAAATTGTAAATTAAAAGGTAATCACAAAAAGGTAATCATTAAGTTAAAATCAGTATTTAATTTTGAACCGAACACAAATTTTGCTTATTGAACAAGTAGAGCCTAAGTTGTTTTGTAAAGGTATAGTTCGACACACTGATTCGTAGTGGTGGTGGTAAGTCATTCCATATCTTCGATGCGCTAAAACGGAAACTACTTTTGAAACCCGCCCCTTTGTATTTCGGTAACTCAACTGCATTATTCTGACTGCCGCGGGTATGTTTGCATTGCTTGAACGTAAACTTGTTGAACAGGTATTCCGGTTTCTTTTTTTTGCATCATTACCTTGCGAACCATATTGGCAAAATGTAATTCCCTGCGTGCTGCCATTTTCATAGTACCTTTCTCATTGAGATACGGGGTTACGTGCGCCCGGCGTGGGATGTTGTAGCAGAATCTAGCGCATGCATTTTGGACACGCTGATTCGCGCGCGCCGTCATCGAATACAGCCGAGGTCCGTACACCGTGTCGCAATACGTGAACTGCGACAGCACCAGGGATTCCACAAGTACTTCCCTGACTTTCTCTGTAAGGTGTCTTCTGATATTATATAATAATTTTAATTTATAGAAAGCGTTATTTTGATGTTAATGTGTTCGATATATCTCAGTTGACTATCCATGACAAGTCCCAAGTTTTTCGCTTTTGCCACTCTCTCATTTCTTCTTATTAATTTCGATCTGAATTTTCTGCTTAATAACCATTCGCATTCTGCCTCTTAGTTCCCAAAATCATGTATTTTGATTTGGACGGGTTTAAAACGAGTGCATTTTGGAAAGCCCAGTCAGATATAACATTTAGATCGTGGTTTATCTCGTCCACGGCTTTTTGTGCGTCTTGTGGTTTGAAAGAGTAATACACTTGGGTGTCGTCAGCGTACAAATGAATTTTACAGAACTTTAACTTGCCAACAAGGTCCGCCGTGTACAATACAAACAGCAACGGGCTTAATATTGATCCTTGCGGTGTGCCCCTCGTTAGGGTTAATATTTCTGACTGAACTAATTCTCCTTTCTCATCGCACATTTCTACAAACTGCTTCCGCCTTACGAGGAAAGAAGAAAACCACTGCAAGGAGGATTCATTGACACCGTAGTATGCCAATTTAGCAAGGAGAAGTTCTGTATTGAGGCAGTCGAAAGCTCCCGAAAAGTCAAGTATAACCAAAATACTCGCGTTGCCATCAAGCAGCAAGGATATCATCAGTTACATGTGCAAGAGCAGTTGCTGTGCTAAAGCCCCGGCGGAAGCCTGACTGCACTGACGGAAGTATTTTTTCGCTTTCCAAAAAGTCAGATAGCTGCTTACAGATGACTCTCTCCAATACTTTCTATAGTACAGGTAGTATGCTTATCGGACGTAAGTCTTTATATTCGTTTACAGAAGAGGTTTTCGGAATAGGCCTGACTTTGGCTAGCTTCGAAGGTTCTGGAAATATTCTTGAGCAGATTGATTCACTTATAACACCCGTTAAAATTGGAATAATAATGGGTATTATCATTTTGAGCATACTTATATTTATGCAGTCATAACTTGACGCGTCTGTTTTGATTGATAAGAGTAATTTACAGACTTCCTGCTCTGAACAGGTTTTAAGTTCAAATTTATTTTGCGTAAAATGGTTACTGAGAAAAAACATTTTGTAATCATAATCTGCTACTGCGGGACCTGGGGCTTTTATGAAGAAAATATTTATTGCATTTGGATTATTCAGGTGGTTTGGTATGCATAATAAGTTTTTGTTACCTATTGTCATGGATCGTTTGAGGTGGTTCCACATTATATTTGGATTGCTTTTTTTGTTGTTGTTAATGTATGTATTAAAATATACAGTTTTCTCTCTACTCAGAGCACCTTCAGTATAGTTTTTTAATTGCTTGTAGTATAGCTTATGTACGTCGGAGCCTGAATGTCGTGCCTTGCAATAAGCGCGGTCTCTCAATGTCGTCATAAATTTAGTATTGCTTGTTATCCACGGACAAGCTTTGCCTCCCACTTTCAAGCGTGTTAGTGGTGCATGGATGTCAAAAAGTAACGTTATAAAATAATTGAAACACTTTACCATTTCATTTACGTCGTTTTGGTAACAAACCTCCGTCCACGGCATGTTACGTACGTGTTCAGAAAATATATCAAGATCTATATTTTTTATGGGCCTTCTATACAAATAAGTTGGTTTTTCTTTTGGCTTTTTAATAGTAAACTCTGCTAGTATAAGCGCATGATCACTTAATTGAGGATTGTGGTGAACTTCTATTTTGTTACATAAGTCTGGTGCATCAGTCACTATAAGATCTATCAAGGTAGCAGAGTGTTCTGTTATACGAGTAGCCTCCTGTACAAGTTGGTGAAGATTTTGATGAGAAAAGTATGTAATAAGCTGAGAAGCGGAACTTTTATTAGGCATCAATAGGTCCGTATTAAAATCTGTCAAGAGGATAATATGTGTGCAATATCTAAACGCGTTTAATGACTCGTTTAAGGCGTCTATAGCATTTCCAATTGATAAACCAGATTCCGGACGGTACGCTGTTCCTATTGCTATTTTCCCCATTCCTAGCAGGGACAGCTCCAGCCATAACTGTTCTAATGCTGAAGTAGGATGCGAGCGATAGCGCACAGGTAATCCATTTCGTACATAATAACCAACCCCACCACCTCTCTTACCTTTTGGTCTTGGTATCAAATGAACATTATACCCTGGAATCGCCGGGGCATAGAGGTTTTCCCCTTCTCTCATCCACGTCTCATTGAGTGCGAGCAAATCGGGTTTGTACCTGTAAAAACTTGTTAAAAGTTCATCTCGTCCTGTATTTAAAGATCTTACATTGAGTAGCCCCAATTTTAAATTACGTGATTTAGTCATTAAAAGAAGTATCAATAAGGTGAAAAAAAAAATTGTGTTCGGTTTTAACAGTTTTTATATGAATTAATATCAAAGATATGAAGATGTTATTATTTATAATATTTAATGACAAAATTATTAGAATGATAATTGATGTTGTTTTGTGTTATCCGTATAAATGATTTTACTAAAAATGCTTTTAAATGTTAAAATATAAAATTTTTACTATTTTTAATTTTTATAGAATAGTACTTGAGAAAAAAAAAAGAAAAAACATAAAAAACTTTATTTGACTCGGCTGTTGTGCTGTTAAGTATACAAAAAGATAAGTTATTACTTTCCCGCTGTAGGAATATTGAAGATACGACTAAGGTCTGCCTCGGTATGCACACGATAAACCACTTCTCCGTCACTCTTGCGAATATGAATATTACCGTTGCGCGACCATACGTATTTCCATTTGTGGGTCGCGCTGCCTCCTTAGTTGCCTGAAATACCTTTTGATTTTGCCTAGTAAGGCGTTCATTGAGATAAATAGGCGCCGGGGATCCTGACAGTGACAGGTGAGCAGTGGTGATGGTGCGCTTTACTCGAGCTGCTTGCAAAATACGGTCTTTAATCACTCGCCGCGACACGCGCACAACGATGGGACGCGGGCGAATGGGTTCGATTTTGGTGTCAGGTCTCTGCCGAAGACGGCCCGATCTATACACATCTACGAGATCGGTTTCCGCGACACCAACCCCCAACTTATGTGATAGTTTGCTGACCATATCCTGAAGGTTCTCTTGTTTATTTTCTGGAACACCAACTATTACTACGTCATTAAGCAGTGTTTCTTGATCCTTCTTATTGCAGTCATATCTGAGAGCTGTGAAACAAGGTTCTTCAGATCATTAACCTGGCATACCTTCCTTTCCACGCGACAGGCGCTCTTCTAAATTATGTATTTGTCTAGAAAACACTAAGAATTTGTCTTGCCATGATGCTATATCTTTTCTCGACTGTTTCATTTCTTCGCGATATAGGCACATCTCTTGTGTTACTTTATCCAAAGAGGCCCGTGACGAGCGTAGTTCATTTATCAGTGCCATGACTGTATCCTTATTAATTTCACTTTTTGAGGTCATTAAGTGTGACAAACCCATATCCGCAGAAAAATCTTTAGGAGAATGATATAAGTCATCACCTTCGTCCCTAACTGGGGATGTTTCGATTGAAGTTTCTCCACAAGGAGTATTCGTTTTCTTTTGGCGTGTGATGTTTAGCGCGCAATTTGGGCAGGTCCATTTCTTCGGTAGTACATGGCCTTTCCGGTCCGTTAAAGCGCATTGTTTATGATAAACAGTTTTGCATTTAATGCAACTAACACCACCTGCCGGCGACAAAAATTTACCACAACCCCCGCACTTCGACATGTTGACAAGTCACTGCTAGATGTCACTAGTCAGACTTGTTATTATTGAGTGTTTTATATATATTTTAAATTGTATGTGAATATTATCAATTACTGTATTAAATAATAAATATGTCACTCAAATTGTTTTACTGCAATCCTTTATATGTCGCACTGCGTGGGTCCAATTTCACTTCAAAGTCACTTCCTCAGCACAACTGGTCGTTGAATATTTTAACTTATTCGAATTGCATACATGACTATACTTTTAAACTATTAGTTCTAGAACAAATTCAAACGTTTATTTACACGATAGTCTAACTTTCACTGTGTAAAACACTTGTTTCTAATTAAAATAGATAAAAATACGGAGCTCGTTAAAATGTCAACTACCGCCCGACAACTCCGAAAAAACGATATAAATTCAAACATTATTTGTTTGTACCGGTTTAAGTGGATTAGTAATTATGCGTTCAGCTTAAAGTTTTAGTACTCGTCAATAGGTTATTGTATTGAAAAAAGTAAAAAAAATATTTTGAAAGAAAAATGAGTTCACAAGTACGTACCAGATTCAGATTTAGAATCAAATTCTGCGTATGCTCTGCTAATATGTCCTTCGTAACACGTTTTTTTTAATGTGAAAAGTTACCAAGTGAGCAGGCGGTTCACCTGATGTTAAGTGAATAGCGCCACCCATGGTCATTAGCTACACCCGAGGGTTGCAGTCGCCTTGACAACTTTTTGAAAATTGGGATCCGGCTACCTGACTCACTAGACAAGACGCGAAAGTATTAGATATTAGATACTTCTACTTGAAGCCGGTTTTCTGTGAGGTCGTGGTACTTACCCGGGCGAGCCTGCCCATTCCGGCAACAGCCGAGGCTGCTGCGTGGCCCTACCACCGTAGCGGAAAGCTCTTTGCGGCTTGGAACTTTGATGGAAGCGAAGAGAGAGTAAGAGAAGTCACCGCCCGTCGGTCCATGAGCGCGGCCTGTCCCCAGGCAGCCTGCGCGTGAACGGCGAGGAGACGCTCGGCTCGCCGACGCCGCCCGTGCAGGAGGCGGCCGCCCTGCCCGAGGCGGGGGCGCGCTTCTTCGTGGGCGGCGCGCCCCCGGGGGCGGCCGTGGCGGCGCGCCCCCTGCTGGGCTGCCTCGGCGCGCTCGCCGTCGACCGCCAGGGCTACGACCTCATGGACACGCCGCACCGCCACGGCCTCGAGCGCTCCTGCGGCGCCAGGGTGAGCCGCGGCCCTTGGCAGCAATAACGTCCCCAGAGGTCACCAGCACCAAGTACCAATGGTTTGACGTTAACGACCTCGCTCCAAGGACTCAGTTAGCGCTTACTACTAGATACGTCTATGTGTCAGTTAGTCTTGTTACGAGTAATATGTACTGTTACAAAGATTATGACAATAAAAGAAGCATTTTTCAATTTGTCGAGATAACCAAAAATTACCATAATAACCATAGTGAATTTTGACAAATTGAATAATTATGTTATTATTTGATAACTTGACACAGTTTTCTATCTTAAAAGCTATAGGCATTAAGCTCACAGTCAAAAAGTCACTGAACTACAAGTCGTTACTCTTCCTTTCGAAACACAAGCCATCAGTGCTCGTCCACAAAAACATTAGCTAGAAAGGTTAGCTATAAACAGCCAATGTTACTATGATCCAGCGAACACAGAGCAACACCCGTAGAGTTGCTGATGTGTCGCCACCGTTTAATAGAGTGTGCCCCTCACTCCACAGAGGAAACGCATAAGTATAACACTTCCACCTCCCGCCGATCTTCCGTAAAGTTGCGGGACTTCCCGAACGGAGCTGCCCGTTCGTGCAACAGCGTAGACTGACGCTTGGCCCTGCCACAGGCAGTGATCATTATTGTGATTCAACAACCAGACCAGCATGGTTTTTAAGTGATAACCGCCCATGACATTTCCAACACCCGAGTTGCAGGGTCCCTCACTCACCAGACGAAACGCAAAGTATAACATCCACATCCCGCCGGTCTTCCACGAGCTCGTACTACCCGGAACGCAGCCCATCCGTGTGGCAGTTAGTGGCAGCGGCCGCCTCCCCAGACGCTGCGCTCGGCGATCCTGGACGGCGAGGGCTACATCGAGCTGGCCGCGCCGGCGCTGCGCCGCCGCGTGACGCTCGGCCTGTCGTTCCGCTGCCGCGCCGGAACCGCGCTGCTGCTGTACCGCGCCCCGGCCGGGCCTCGCAGCGCCCTGGACGACGACACCGACGGCGACGACAACCACTACCTGGCGCTCGCCATGGTTGCTGGTGACTTGCCACTCCCTAAAACGTTGCCCCTCATATGACATATCGTGACCTCTGTGACCCACTAGTCCTAAAAACCCGTGCATAGCGAGTAAAGCTGTTTCAGAAATTAGAAAAATAGTTATTTGTGTATTATACAGATGCCAATATTGTATATCCATTTTGGAATTTATTACAGTAGTTCAGCTTAGCCTTATTCGACCTTGATAGACACGTCAACAATAATTTAGATTATCCTTTTCGTGTAGTTGTTTACAAAAAAATGATTTTTAAATTACACTCCACCTAATCAGCGCCAGAAATACTGCAATGGTTTTACACCAATATTCTTAAAAACGGGGATTAAAAAAAATTCGGACGATAAAGCCCTCAAAAGAGATATGTAAATTCATTCCAGTTACGATTTATTTAAAGTATTCAAATTATATTATACCATCAACACAACACAGCGCCGAATAACTCCTAAACGTGGAATCTTAATTTAAACGGGGCGTTAATGTCATTAAAATAAGATTTTTATATTCATAAGATGTTTCATTACTTAGGTTTCATGTACCATTGGTTTTTATCCCCAAATTATATTGTCTGAGAACAACTTCGACCGATTTCAGCGATATGTAAAATTTAAGTTGGTTAGTAAAAATACAAAAGATAGTCTTTTTTTTTTTTCGTTTTCTCTAGTCGTTTTTTTTTTCGTTACAAGGACTGATGAGATACACTTATAAATAGTCAAATCAATTACTTATGAAGGTTCCTTGACCACGAATGTCCGTTTCAGGGGAGCTGGAAGTAATCGCCGCTGCGGGCAAGGGTGAGCTGAGGATGCGCTTCAACGGCACCAAGTTCAACGACGGCAGAAGGCATACCGTGCGCCTGGTGCGAGCCCATAAACAGGTAATATTTATCATTCGCGAGTGCAAAAGAATAGTTCGCGGGCGCAAAAGAATAGCTCGCGAGCGAATCCTCTAGTTATCACTTCCCCTTTGTGTCCGTGGGAAAAATACTTTATGGATCTAGCCACTGGTTCGGGGGAGTGGCAGTGGTATATGGGAGTCCCAGTCAGAAACGGGTTCCCACTTAAAACCCACGTTGCACCTGTCTCCGTCGCATCGGACGGGAACACATGGACGGTATCGCCCGCTACCCCAGCGCGACTTTGGCCTTTTTGGACTTTAGTTATCACTCCCCTACGGTTTTGATAGAAAGACTTCTGACCGAAGTTGACTGCTGAATAATTTCATTATAGCTAAAACTCTGCCTCAATAGGAAGAGAATTGGTCAGTATATTTTACTTGCCGCCAAAACTGCCTTGAAGTAAACAAAGTTCGTTACTTTAACAAACACAAGTTTCTTATAACAAAATAAAATCTATATTGCGCCAAATGAGAACCGAAGAACGAACATGGCCTATTGAAGTATTTTATCCTATCACCTGTGTCATAAAAATGTTTTAAGATATTATATAACCTGATGAGTATGAATGTTTTAACAATAATTCGTTCGTAAATACGGCCATAATGTAAGTGCGAAGTTTTAACTCGTCCATAATGTGTTGGTAGATCGTTTATAGGTTTATTACGTAAACAAGTAAAGTAAAATAGCAGCCCAAATATGTCCCACTGCTGGTCAAAAGCCTCCTTTGTAGGAGTATAAGAACACGGTTGGATCTTCACAGATCGTTGAAACATTTTTTAATTATGAATTGGGTAAATATTAATGCGTAAATCGTAAACAGTGGTACTTGCACAGACATTTAACGTTCGAGCAGCCAACACAAAAAACCCAAACCGTTCAGTGTTGACCCCTAGCGTGTATTCCAGCTAGAGGTGTGGGCGGATGAGCGTAAGCTGGGCGGGGGCGCGCTGGCGGGCGGAGGTCTGGCCGCGCGGCCCAGGGGCCTCTTCCTCGGCGGCGCTCCGAGGGCCCTTCGGCCTACCAACGCCCCGCCCACTGCATTGCCCACCGCTGGACTTGCGGGCACGATCGCCGATTTCATCGTTGACTCCGAGTCAGTATAATTACCATATAATATTCTAATTACTTTATCTATAGTGTTATGTTCCTGTTTGGTTCTTGTTCTTTTTCGCACAATATTTACTGCTCTGGATAATTCTCGATTATTTATGCTTTTAAGACATTTAGACCTACATCGTACACTCTACATTTCTAAACATATTGTCCCATTATATTGTATACATATCTCAAATCGTTGCACCCAACAAATAAAACATCGTTTGTCTAGATTGGTGGATAAAAAGAAATAGTCTCATATACAAAAATCTGGGCATTATACGGGCCACGCTTAATGTAAGCAATTAAATTAAATTAGTTAATTAAGTCTCAAAGACGACATTATATATTAAGGACCTCCTGAAATCAAATTGAAACTCTCTCATTAAATATTAAAATCTATCTAACCGCTGTAAACGTTAAAATTCTTCCGCATTAAGTCTAGATTTTGTGCGGAAGAGTTGACACAGGCATGAAATCTTTCAAAAATGTATTAGGATATGGCTATCTTGTTACAACGTCTCCAGACGACGCAGCATTCGCCAGAGACAAACAAAGTAGAGCTCTATCCAGCAGTTTGTTGAACAAGCGAAACCGGCCAGATTATTGATCCGGCGTTTGGGGCTAAGATTTGGCATCTTGCATGCTGATAGGTCGGCGCAGCGGTCACATACGATTTAGACAGAGACAAACATATAGATCTCTATCCAGTAGTGCGTCGAAAAAGTAAAATTGGTCAGACTCCTCCGGTCTTCTGTGGTTAAGGTGCGGCGTGTTTCAGGCTGATAGGGCTGGAGGGCGCGGTGCACTGGAGCGGCGCGCAGCTGGGCCGCGCCGAGAGCGACCCGCACGAGGACGCCTCGGAGCCCCGCGCGCTCCACTCGCAGCCGGACGCCGTCGGCTGCTCGAAGGTATGCCCTCCACTCCTCAGAACTTGCCAACTTGTCCCACCGCCGTCTATCCTTCCTATTGCTTGCATCCTTCGCGAACTAAACCCAATCGCGAAACATCTTGCCGAAATTGTTCGTTCGCCACATCTGTCTTGTTTCATTCTCTGTTAGTCTACAACGTTTTTTTTTTTAATGTAAGAAGATGGCAAGCGAGCGGGCAGTTCAACTGGCGTGATAACCGCCATCCATAGACATTTACAACACCCGTAGGGTTACTGGTGCGTTGCCAACTTTCAATAAAGTTAGCCCCGATTACCTCACTCACCAGACGAACGCAGGAATATAACACTTCTACTTCACGCCGGCCTTCTTGAGATCGTGGTACTTCTCCGGATGGACGTGCCGGGTCGTTCAGCAGTGAAGATTGCTGCGTTCATCTCAGGACAGGTCTAATTTAGTAGTAGTTTTTTTCACGTTTAGGCCTAAAACACGCTTATATTGATTAAATAAATTTTGCTTCTGAATTTGACTTCGTGTACAAAAATCGACCTATGTTACCTATGGACCGGTTTTGATGTAATTCTCAGGCAATCTTCAATCAGATTAGCCTGATATTGTGATAATCCTGCGAGTTTGATAGCGATCGGATCAACAGATTTTTTTTTTAAATTTAGTGCTACCCGTGTCCGGTTAGGTCGCTAGTCCTTCTTAAACCAAACGAACCTCAAGCGGCACAATCCAAAGCGCAATGTAAACCCTAATCCATGGTTAGGACATTAGGGCTATACCAAACAGTCTTTCTCAAACCAAACGAACGTCACGCGGCACTATCTAAAGCGCAACTTCAATACTAATCCGGGACTAGGGCTGCGCCCCCTAAACCATGATGAGGACATTAGGGATGTGCCGAACCCAACCAGCGATCAATCCCACCGACAGAGCTCCTCGTACACCGTGGAGGCGGGCGCGGCGAAGTTCGGCGACTCGGCCGGCAGCCACGCCACGCTCAAGCTGCCCGCGAAGGGGGAGAGGGGTCGCGGGGGCAAGGCGGAGAGGGGCGAGAGGGGGGAACTCCTGCTGGCGCTCCACTTCCGCACCTTCGCGACGGACGGCCTGCTCCTACTGCTCCCGGTAACGACACGTCACGTCAACTGCGACTTAGACATGACACGTATTGACACACTTCGTAGGCCCTGGGGTGACATTCTCGGCCACCGGTAGTAAGCTACCGAAGTACTGTACGGAGATGAAAAGTCTTACACACAGAAGGGTCTGTCATCAATACAGCTAAAATGTGAATAAATTCTTGGAAATTCTTTGATAATATTTCTACCAAAAAAATCACAATTTAAGTTTCGTCTTGAATGCAGATACTAGCTATAAAATAAAATTAATCATAACGCGTAAAATTAAGTGTTTTATACACTTGAATAAAAAAAATAGTTTTCCTTCGTTTTCTTTTTTCATATTGTCAACGTCATCTTAAACAGGAATCTGTGTTGACATCAGAATTTATTTTACACAAGTCTGTTTACGAGTTTGAGAGCTCACCGTTGTGAGGAACCCCGGTAACTTTCTAGAAAAATAATCTCAGCAGAAGGAAAGTCTTTAAACCTCCTCCGTAACTCCTCAGGGTTCGAAAGCGAAACCGAAGCATTACATGGCGCTGATGGTCCGGGAGGGGAAGCTGAAACTGATAGTACGCGGAAGGAGGCGCCGGGAGCTCTCACTCGCCGCGTTCGTGGCTGACGGCACCTGGAGATCTGTGGGTGAAATCTATGTTCATAGGTCGTGACAAAATCACCAAAGTACAACCGTTACTGGGAAAATATTACTAATAAATTAATCACCAATTCCTAATCTAACAAATATGCATCACCTTATGTTCTTCCGTTGGCGCTACAACCCTTTGTGGGTCTTGGCATCTTCTACAATATCCCTTTTTATTACACGCCTTATGCCGACCGTAAATTGGTCAAAATCTTTGTAATTCACAAATAGTTACAAAGTATACACGTTAATTTGTGTCATGATTTATCAAATCTATAGTGGTCCATGAATCTCTGTGTTGTCTATAAAATATAAACGAACGTGTGATTTCTTTCATTATTCCTAATGTAGATTAATGTAAATGCTGTATTGTACAACAGGTCATTCACAAACACAAGTACACGAAGACAAACACTCACGAGAACACAATAACAGAATAATTATTCACTTGTTGAGAATCATAATCATCATCATTTCAGCATGTTTGAGTCCACTGCTGAATATAGGACAAACTGCCACGAAGCACGATCCTGAGCCACCTGCACCCATCGACTTCCCGCACATTTGCACAGGTCGTCACTGCATCTAGTGGGAGGTCGTCCTACCCTGTGATGACCAGTACGAGGTTGCCACTCGAGAACCTTTCTTTGCCATTGGTTAAAGGTTCAATACGTAGTTCAATACGTACAAATGCGCGTAGAAACGTGCCTTAGGGCCGGCAGATCTCCACTTCAGCTTACCAACCTTCGGACCTAAGTCGTTTATCTTTCTCCCATTGCGGATACATTCGTTGCCAACTCTATCACGCAGAGAGATAGAGAACCGCCAGAAAACGGCCAACGGTATTATTTTTTAGTGTAAATGCACCAATTAACATGTGGTTCGTATACGCGTCCAGGTGTCGGTGCGCATCGGGCGGGCGCGGCTGGTGCTGGAGAGCGCGGGCGCCGCGGCCACGGCTCGGGCTCCGCCCCTCGCCCGCGCCTCCAGGCTCTACGTGGGGGGGCTGCCCGCACCCGCCGCCCTGCCGCACCTCCCCAACAATGTGAGTGCAAACGCATCACTGAATTTAACTACTTGATGACACGCTCTCACAGTTGCTACGCGACTGAATTCCGTGCTCAAGGGTCGTGATGACCCTTGTTAACTTTTTATATGAATGTTGAGAAAACGTCTACGTGGTTTGCCTAATGTTAAGTGAATTCCGCCGCCCATGGACATCGAAAACACCTGATGGATTACAGATGCCAATCATTAAAAACTGGAACCTGGTTACCATACATAAAGCACATTGCGTAGTGAAGGTCATAACCGTGGTTAACCGTTGGTGGCGTAGGTGAGGTGGTAAAGCTTTTGGTGTTATACAAAGACAGCAGCATCTCTAGGTCGTAAGTGATCGTGGGGGGCGCAGATGTTCCATTAAAGCCGTCATAAGCCGTGATTAACCAAGACAGCGATTAACGACGGGGGATGCAGGTGCTGCAATAAAGCCGTCCTACCACCAGGACAGCAGCATCTATAGGCAGTTAACCATGGGGGGAGCAAGTGGTGTATTAAACGGTTCTTATACAAAGAGAGCAGCATCTGTAGGCAGTAATTAACAGTGAGTAAAAGCCGTCATAACACTAAGGGGCAGCATGTGTAGACAGGGAATAACCGTGCGGACAGCGGCATCCGTAGTTAGTGGTTAACCGCGGCGGGCGCTAAAGCTGTCATAATACCAAGTTGCAAATGATCGCGGCGGCGCAGATGTTGTATTAAAGTGGCCATAAGACCGAGACAATGACCAACGATGGGTTGTTGTATTAAGCCGTCATAACGGTGGTAAAGCCACGCAGCAGCCTCGGCTGTTGCACGAATGGGCAGGCCCGACCGGGTACGTACCACGACCTCACAGAAGACCGGCGTAAAATGGAAGTATGACAAATACTTTCGCGTCTCGTCTGGTGAGTGAGGTAGCCGGAGCCCAATTTCCAAAAAGGTTGTTAACGCACCTGCAAACCCTGGGATTATGGGCGGCGGTATTCACTGCACTGGCGGTATGCAGGTAGTGCACTAAAGCCGTCATAAGACCGAGACGGTGGTGGACCGTGGGGTGGGGGGGCAGGTGGTGCACAAAAGCCGTCATAAGGCCGAGACGGTGGTTGACCGCGGGGTGGGGGGGCAGGTGGGGCACTAAAGCCGTGATAAGACCGAGACGGTGGTTGACCGCGGGGTGGGGGGGCAGGTGGTGCACAAAAGCCGTCATAAGGGCGAGACGGTGGTTGACCGTGGGGTGGGGGGGCAGGTGGTGCACAAAAGCTGTCATAAGCGCTAAAGCCGCGATAAGGGCGAGACGGTGGTTGACCGCGGGGTGGGGGGGCAGGTGGGGCACTAAAGCCGTCATAAGGGCGAGACGGTGGTTGACCGTGGGGTGGGGGGGCAGGTGGGGCGCTAAAGCCGCGATAAGGGCGAGACGGTGGTTGACGGTGGTTGACGGTGGTCGGGCGGGGCTCAGGTGGTGCGCTCGGGCGGGTTCGTGGGGTGCGTGCGGCGCGTGGCGGTGAACGGGCGCGCCGAGGACCTGGTGCGGGACGCGCAGGCGCACCGCGGCCTCGGCCAGTGCTTCCCCAGCGTCGAGCGCGGCGCCTACTTCGCCGGTGAGCTTCGAAACTTCAAGCGACACCTCGCTAATTCAAACTCATAGTCACTACTGATACCTTCCTATTTTAATTCTTTACGATCGTTACGTACGGCCGTCTCACTCTTTCCTCCAAGATTCCACTGAAAACCAGCATTCGCGAAGGTTGTCAGCTTTGTGATACGAAGCTGAGTGGTGACCATTTTGGTTCATTTTAATCATAGGTATTTGGTTTTCAGCATCTATTGTATTCTTTTTGTTATTATGTGCCAAATAAATGTTTCTTTCTTTCTTTCAACAAAATTGGAACAGCTACCACGGGCCGGTAGCTGTTCCAGTACTGATGACATCTGTAGTGATTATAACTTCGAACTTATAGATGTTGTTTTATCAAGTTTGCTGTTTTTTTGTGCTAATCTCTGCTCGTGTTCGACCGGCCCGTGGTAGCTGTTCCAACCCTCTTGATGTCAGGAGGGACTATAACTTAGAACTTAGTGAGCTTTTGAAGTTTTTGTAATAATCTCTACACTTAAAATATGTAGGTAATCTCTGTCTAGTCTTTTAACAAACATTGTAAAAAATCGAGGAAGCATGTTCACTGGAAAGCACCAAGACGGCAAACGTTGCTAAAAATGCAATGAAAGCAAAGTAAAAAAAAAGATGTCAAGATTATCGCTTCGTGAGGAAAACGACCGTTTCGCTTATTGGCTAGAGCGTTCTGGATAGCGCAGTTTCGAATCCTGCCAACAGTGAAACATTTTTGCACAATTTATCTACACATTTTAAGTGGGTTAAAAGTACGAAAACATTGTCGCCGCTGTGGTCGATTCCCACAGCGGCGACAATGTTTTCGTACTTTTTCTACATGTTTTAATGTTCAATCTTAAGTGCAGAGATTAGCACTATATAAACTTTAAAATTTACACATTTTAAGTTTCATCTTAAGTACAAAGACCGGCTTTAAAGATTTGAAGTAAATGTTAAAATTATTCCAATTGCTGTATTAAAACTAAAAACAGCATATTTTCTTTCCAATACTGCAGTGTAACTCCTTACCATATATATGCCGTTACGTATTTTATCCCTGACGGGGCCTAAATAGTCAGTAAACAATGCCCACATTTATTTTAAGTACATAGTGATTTAAACATATTACTAACGGACGTCGTGCGCTGCTTGCAAGTTCTAGTTTTGAAAAAGAAAACTTTATTTCACATTCGCTTCGTTGAAACTCACAGCGAAATTGACAACTCCGAGACCCAATGCAATCTCACGTTTCATTTATCAATGTGTATTATTAACATTCGTTTATACGAATAAGAATTTATGGTTGTTTACATTGGTAAACAAGCATAAATTCTTAAATGGACCATTAACCAGGCTGCATCAAAGATACCAACTACTACTCCATTAAATTTTCACCGACACCATATTAAAATAAAACAATTTTCCTTTGTCACTTTCTCCTCCACTGACGCCCGGTTGCTGTACCATGGATCATCGTAGATGTCAACTGATCAGCTGTCAAATTTCATTTTAGTTGCCAAAAGGATGGTTAAATTCTTTGAATTGATCATTGTGATCGTTAAGAAGATTATTCATGTCAATTCAGAGAGTGAAAACAGCTGATTAGTTGACATCTACGATGAGCAGTGTTTCAGAAACCGGCTGTGAGACGAATATAGTGATATAGATATTGAAATTCGACAAATTTTTGGTGTTGATTTTGAAAAACCTGACCCTTCTTCGGTAATCGGGTAAAGAAACAATCAGTTTTGCTCGATTTTCAGGTGATGCTCATGCGGTGTGGTCGAGTCGCTGGTGGAGTGAGGACATGGAGTCGGTCGAGCTTAAACTACAGTTCCGAACCACAGCGCCCAACGGTGTGCTCATGGCGGCGGGGGGTTTCGTTCTGGAGCTAAGAGATGGCGCTGTATGTATCACTTTAGCTTAACCAGATATGAAAAGTATGAAAAGTTTCTCGCCGCTGTAGGAATCGAACTCAGGTTTTCTGGATTGCTTTAGCTAAAAGACCGATTGTCAAACATTTGACGCGCAGCGATTCTTTTTAAAGAAAACAAGCCTCGGATAGTTCCCGCTTAAACGCTAACCAAAAACACTAATGGATGGCGCTGGAATCCATAAATGTGGAAAGCCAAGAGTTAAAGTGAATTATATCCTAAACGAAAATTAACATCTCTGTTTTGAGGAATGTTTGTGTGAAATAAATATTTAAGGATACATTTTAATAACGTTCTCTAGTCCCAAACTAAGCAACGCTTGCACTACTAGATCATGAATAAACACAATTAAAAATTCTTTTCTTTTGTGAATAAATACATATTATATAAACACCGAGACACTAGAAAACCACTATGTTCACCACACAATACTTTCCCAGTAGTAGGGATCGAACTCACGCCCTCCGACGCAGGAGGTACACCACCCACTGCGCCATACAGGCTATGCAGAGCTGTTTCGCTTGTACGGAGTGGGCGTTCGCAGGTGGCGGTGAGCGTGGGCTCGGCGCGGGTGGAGTCGTGGGGCGCGGGGGGCCGCGCGCTGTGCGACGGCGCGTGGCACCGGGCGCGGGCGCGCGTGTGGCAGGCGGCCGCGCTGCTGGCCCTCGACGGGGGGCCCGAGCAGCGCTCTGCCACGCTGCTGCCCGCCGCGCTCAACGCCCCGCTGCACATCGCCGGCCTTCCTGGTAAGCGAAACCGTTCACGACCCTCATTAATCCCCCCTCCCTCCCACTACAACCTGGCCGCTCCTCTTCACATAGCCGGGATAACAGTTAGTCGAACCATCCTCAACCCTTAACAATCATTCCTCATTAATCCTCCTCCATCCCACTATCGTGAACTGATGTAGTCACACCTCTTTACTTCAGGTCCACTTTGTCTATTTTGATTTTATTCATTAAGATCGCCAAATGCTAAACGAGGCTGCTTAGAAGAAACTGGCGTAGCAGAGACAGCGTCGGCTTTTTTTAACAGTGCCCTTACTTTGGAATTTCATGTTCCTGTGTTGTGAGTCGGACAAACACCCAGATCCGAAACAATTGTCTGTCTCACAAATAGTTGTCTCGTGCGGGGATCGAACCCACGATCCCCGGTTCCGAGGTCAATACCTTGTCAACTGCACCACGGAGTCATCAAAAACTATACTTGCACCTTTGCATTCTTCGCTAATAAACGTAACCATTAATGGGATACAAACCTCTGTTATTATATCCGTTAATAGCTTAACTGAGCGTTAGTGGAGAACATAATTACGTCATCTAAAATAATCAGACGGACATTTTGTTAACGTTTGCATACAAGGCTAAATAATTTGGACTTGAATGAACAAGTAACTTAATGAATAGCATAAAATCTCGTGACCTAACGCGCACTGTATTAAAACTGTGAACATAGTGGAGGAAACATTCTGAAACGAAACTGATGTGTTTACAGAGGGCGCTCTGGACACGTCGGAGGGTCGGGAGAATTTCAAGGGGTGCATACGCGACGTGAGCGTGTCGGGACAGGCGCGGGACTGGCGCGACATGGACTCCCTGCACAACGTACTCCTGGACTCGTGTCCCATTGCACAGTGAGAGCGAGGACACCCTACGGGACTCCGCTTCACAGACTGTGGTCAATCGCTTATGCAGATTGTGCGTTTAGAACCCACTAAGAAGCATTACCAAGCCAATAAGAGAACAATGGAGAGTACAGATATGACGTAAAATTCCCTCGTCTAAACTGCTAGAAAATACTATTAGTGTCTTTCTTATCTTCTTGCTGTGAAGGACATTTCTATTCAGGCTCATTGACTGTGACACAGTGAGCCATGTAATGAAGCGATTGTCTTTAAAAATGATAGACTTAAAACCATTTTATGGAAAATAGGATTCGAATGAACTGTAATAAATGTGCCTTAATTGATAGGTAGAAGAATCAAGCCGTGCCATAAATTATACATGTAAAATTTTCAATTTAGCTCCAGTTTTGTGGTAGATATTGTTTATATTGAGACAAGTGGAAGGCCTCGAGACAACATAATAAATTGACCTATTATATAAACCTTATATTTAATTTCAGAGGTATTAAATATTAATTCAGAACATTATCAACTATATGAAAACAATGCTTATTGTCAAATACGTATTTCATGAAAAATAAACTAGGAGATACTACCTATAATAGCTAATACCTACGAGGCTAAACAAGAGGCTACATTAATGTAAATATTTTAGTTCTGACATTCATTTCCCAATTACTTAATAATGGCAACACTGAATACTCATATTATGTACATAGATAAAGTACTTAATGCATGAGCAAAATTCTCAGTATTCTTAAAACTTATTGCTGTAAATATACTTAGCTTATTTGTGTTAGTTTGTGTATGTTTATGTATAGCATCGTTCTGTTGCAATTAATTTTATTATCCATATACCTACATCAATTATGTCGAAAATATTACAAGTTCATATGCTTTTTAAATGTATAAATATACAAAGTGCCAATGGCCATGGGAATTTAATTCGTCTTAAGGGAAAATATGTGCCTTATATCTAAAATATTTTTTTTCTTATGTGTTTTTGATTAAGAATTTTAAATAGGATGAGTTAATTCATTTGCAATGAATGTATTCTAATATTGTTTTGTTCCCAATATGGAGTGTAGAGATAACGAGAAGCACCTTCAGGTACAGAATACCATGTACGCTGCCGTTAGCAAAAGTTCTACATTGAAAAGAATTATTGTTAGAACATTCGCTACAAGTTATTATCAATTGTTGACAGTTCAGGTCTTGTGCTACATTAGCGCCATTCTGATCATTTCCGGAAACTTTATTGTATACCTTTTCGTGGTTACTTTTTCGGTAAAAAGACATTTAAGATACTACTCATTATCTGTACACTCCTATGTTTAAAATATGTAAACTGACAGATAAAATATGAATGTTGCCTGTTTCATGAAAAACGGGACTTTTGTATAATATTAATGTAGAAGACAGCTTTAATAATTAACGATGGCAGATTGTTATTTATACATATATTGAAACCCGACAGTCAAAAAGTCACCTTATTGCTAATATTTTTAGATCAGAATTTTTTTCCACAGACTAAAAAGTTTTTATTAAGTTATCAAAAAAATATAATTCCAAAGCTCTTATGTAAGAGACAAACAAACGATATACGATACACCATAGAATAAACGATCTACCGCGTTTTTCTTAGACGAATAGTTACAACCAATGTAACATGATAAAACAAAAAAAAATGTCGTCTGTCATCAGCCGCATAAAAAAACTTCGTCGGGTGTTGTGTATGAAATGAATAGTGTTCAATAGCTTTTAATTTGTGTAAATAGCTATCGTAAGTTTTGTAAATAGTTATGAATGTGAAAGAAAACAAGAGCAGCAACAGCGTATTTATTGTAGCATTTGGAAATAAAAGCCGCGTGTGGCAATAAAAAAACATTTATTTATGAATACTCAGTCACAAGTTTCTACCGTGCGCTCTATCGGTAGCCTGGGTAGGTCGAGTTTTCCAAATGTATTGCTTTTAATAAAAATCATGTGTTTTACTTAATATCTTACGTCGTTACTGCTGCATTTCGTTATTTAGGAAGTGCTTGATTGTTCTATACATACCATTGAAGTTTTAAGATTCACATGATATTGCGTTTACTATATTTATAGTACTTTCGGCTTACGGTAGAGCGCCCAGTAAACCCCAAACCCCCAACCCTTACCTCCTCTTTTCAAACCAATTACCAAACATCTGGAACATATGTGTATTGATTTCTTCGGCATCGATCGGTTTGTTTAAACGTAAATCGGTAGAGGTAAAACAGCAATCATTTAAACCCAGCGAGTCTTTATTCTTACAGAATTAACTAAGACTATTACAGAAGGACAACGTTACATTGACTATATATCTATATTTTAATTACACTTAGCTTTAATATGGACAGATGAGTTTTACTAAATGTTTTTATGTCGATGAGTTAAATCAAAATTTCTATGACAATTTTTGGATGCTAATAGAAAAATTGAACAATTCGTACAGAACGTTTGTTTACTGGTACAGATTAAAAAAAATACATTAATATGTATACATATATATAGGACAATACTCTCAACATCTCATCCTCAAATTATTTGATAACATCACATTCCAATGATTTATTATATACTCTGTTTCGGTGTCAACTAACACCACTTTTGAATTTAAATTCGGATCCGAAAACATCGTGATGTTTCGTTGGCATCGCTTAGAACGTGTAAAATAAAAAAAAAATCACAATTATGCTTTAAAAAACAATAATAAACTACTACATAATTAGTAAATGAGCGGGAGAAAACTATTAATTCTCTTCAGTTTATTTCTATTAAATTAAATTAAAACAATAGAAAATTTTTAGGACATTTTCTTCTCATCAGTAATTCCAAAAAAAATCACTACTTTAGTTCATAAACAAAATACAATTGCCCCGGATCTTACATAATGATTATTGAAATTTCATTTTGACACATATTATGATGTTACGGGGAATCATTAAATATCATTATAAAAATGAATTAATTTTAGACATTGCTCTCTTGAGAATCATTCAAACTGACTATTTTCCAAATATAAAGAGAATCCCAAGCAAGCTAGATTGAATCAACTGTAGAAATATCATTATCTTTGGGATAAAGGGTTTATAGCCGAATGGAGTGAAGTTGCATTCAAAGACTTGACGACGGTTCATTACGTAATTCGTTACGTTTTCTTGGAGGAAAGTATAAAGACTATAATTCGTTAAAAATAACTTCATTGAATATAATATATTGTATTCGCGTTAATAAACATCTTTATTGTAGTGTTTTGATTTGATAAAACAATATTCGGTATAGCTAGTAGTGTAATTATTAAATCTAATAGTATTACAACCGTCGTCTAATCTTTTTTCCGAAACGTTGCAAAACATAATAGTTCCTATATACGGACATAATAAAGTATACATTATCATAAACGTAGATAAGTCTCTTTCAATTTTCAAGACCTTAAATCATATCAAACATTAGGTGATTATTAATAAAATACATAAAGATTCAATATGATGTAAACGTGAAAAAATCATTTCTGTAAGTGTGTTAAAATTAGTGTAAGACAAATAAAATACATTTTTACCAGATACCAAAAGACTTATCAACGTTATTGACACCGTCGAAATTGTTTCCTCTCTTACAGGGAAATTGAGCGATTTTCGTGGTAGGCGAGACTGCGAAGAGATTTGCGGTATGTGGCAACATCGGAGATCAACGGGTGCGGTGTGCAGGCGATTTTAACCGAAGATCGTATGGCATGGCGGCGATTTACGGACGTGAATACGATGCAACGAATCATATATATATGTTATTTTATTTCGTATCTATATTATTAAATTTACTACGGGACCCGCTCCGCTTGTTTTTACCTGAAAGTGAGAATAATAAATTATATATAACAAAGTTGAACATACATTAAGTATATGAAAAAAAATGTTGATTTAATTAGAGATGTTCGTCGGTGTGCCGATTTGCCGTTTAGCTTCATGGCTAAAGCGTCTGGGCGAGAATGCATAAGACGTGGTTTCGATTCCAGCAGCGGCGAAAACCTTTTAGTCTCGTTTTGTCTACAAACTTTAATAAATTTATGATGTAAGGTTCAAAGTAGATCTGGACCAAGCCTCAACTTCGATGACGGGTTCTGGGTGCACTAGTGACGTCACGGGTGTGGCAGACTGAGGTGCAAAGTAGCCCAGAACTAGCCTCGACTTCGACGAAGGAATACGTTCGGGCGGCACTCACATGGAGAGGTATCCGCGCGCGGCCGAGCGGCGGCGTCCCTCAAGGTACGCGATTAGCACCACAACTACTAGCCCGCCGAGGGCGCAGCCCACCGCGATGGGCACGGCGTCCGGCAGGTCGCCACCGCCGCACTCGCGCCCTGGAAGAGACGACACCCTATTTTATAAGGGCGCCATATGGCCGTTGCACGAACGGGCAGACTCTTGGGATCTAACACGGCCTCACAGAATACCGGCGTGAAGTGGACGTAGTACAAGCGTTTCGTCAGTTTTCTGTTCAGTTATTGTTGTAATACTTTGTTTTAAAGACCGGGAACTTGCAAACCTTGGGAATTCTAGCATCAGGATTTGAGGAAAGGTCGCTAGCGCGCCAAACAGAATAGCCCACTGGTATCTCAATGGCGAGTCGAAGGGCAACAAATACTTCACGCCGGTCTTTTATGGCGCCTTGGTACTATCCCGATCAGGCTAGTCTATTCGCGCAGCCGGAGCTGATTATATAGGCTCTTGTTTCTCCACCAATTTAATTAGACACATGACGTTTTGTACCAACCAACCGGTACCCGCTATTTCGTATCGAGATGGGTTTTGATTTTGTTTCGACATGGTCAACGCTTGTCTACTATCCAACCTGGCTACAAACGATATAACCTTACCTTTTAAGTCTTTCTCAAAGTCGTCTTTAAATCAGTAATGACTGGACGTTAAAAGACGAGTTAGAGAAGAGATTCAGACAAATAAACGGTATGTTAATTAAATATCCGCCATTGACACATTTGTAATGCAGTAACTTTCGTCGTGAAATGTCTAAGCATTTTGGCGCGTCCCAAGGCACAGACAAAAAACGATAATGCTGACCTGACCCCATAGTATTGCAGAGTAAGAACATAGACATTTTATTTCGAGGCTTATCGCGTTATGATTATATATATATATAATGATAATAGTATTCAGCTCGAGCAAGATAAAATCGTGACGTCATCACGTTCATTGCAATCGTCAGCGATAAACAATTAACACAAAGCAAATCAAGAAAGTTTGATTCAAAAAACACCATAGCATTCATTACATAGAGACAGAATTTTGACCTTAAGTATTATAAAATAAATAATGTTGCAATATTGTTGTATGGTCAACTTTCATTCTGGTAGCATATTGACTTGTATAAATAGGGAGATAAACGTTCGCCCCAAAAGAATTTGCGAGATTTCGCGTGTTTTCTTACAAAGAAATATCTTTAGTGCACAGTAGAGGACATATAAGAGGATGGGCTCTAATATCATGGACTACCGCATTTGGGGAGTGATAAGACTTAATATGGAAACTGTTCATTTTCTCTCTTACTAAATTATTTTATTACATCGTTTAAGTATGTACACACAGATGAATAAATAACGTATCCAATATACATAATAACAACAAAAAGATACTGGTAACTTACGAACGCATTAATTTTTATGTAAAACTAGCTGTTCCGGCAAACGTTGTTCTGCCATATAAATTATTTCTAGGGAATTTGTAGGGTAGGGTTTGTAGGGTAGAAAAACTGTTTAGGGTGGACTACCCTTAACATTTAGTGGGATGGAAAATAGATGTTGTCCGATTCTCCACCCTGGCCGATATGGCCAAGAATCGGACAACATTTCACAAAAATCGGTCGAGCCGTTTCGGAGGAGTTCATTTACAAACACGTGAATTTTATATATTAGATGTTGACGTTTCATAAGAACGCGCAAGCGTCCATGTGAATAAATATATTTTTGATTTTGACCGTTTCAATTCTAGCCAGCGACATAGCTGCTACGAAATAAAATTTACGTACATCATTACTGACGCCCTCGATGCAAACCACTGAGACACTTTTAATATCAACTTTGTTAAATGAATGAGCATTTCCGATGTAGGACCACGGCCTCACAGAGCGACATGACATCTCTGCGGTTCGCTTTGTGAGTGAGGTAATCGGGGTTTTCTGTTCCCTTAATTTTGCCATGAAACACCACCAGGCAGTAGACACAGCTATTGAGCCGTCTGCTTCGCACCATAAGACCTAACTGTAAATTTTTTTAATGTGAGAAGATAGCGACTGTGGTAGGGCCACGCAGCCTCGGCTGTTACACGAATGGGCAGGCTCGTACGGGTAAGTACCACGAACACACAGAAGACCGGCGTAAAGTGGAAGTATAATAATCTCGCGTTTCGTCTGGTGAGTGAGGCGGCCGGAGCCCAATTTTCAAAAGAGTGTAAACGCATCTGCAACCCTCGAGTGTCGCAGAAGTCAATGGGCGGCAGTATTCACTTAACATCAGATGAACCGCCTGCCCGCTTGGAAATTTGTAACATAAAAGAAACAAGCGAGCAGGCTGTTCACCTGATGTTAAGTGATAACCCGCCGCCCATTGACATCTGTAACATGGGATTCCATGCATTGCCGCCTTTTTAAAAAGTGCGCCCTAGCTATCTCACTCGGTTAACGAAGCGCAGTACAATGCTTCCACTTCTCGTCAGCCTTCAGCAAGGCCGCGGTACTTACCCGGAAGAATCTCACCATTTTTGCAACAGCAAAGACTGCGTGGTCCCTACTAAATTAACTGTGACACAATATCTTGTGTCACATATTCCGTGGCCAAAATAATGAACTTTCGAGGCGATTTGCTATCTCATTCGTATACAATTCGTAGGAAGTGAACTTGAGAGGGGCATACGCCGCGCGGGTGATAAGGGGCCGCCTTGACCGGGCGTCGAACCCGACTCCGGCGCTTCTCGTGAGCGGACAGGGTCGCGAGTAATCTGCGAAGGCCGCGCGCTCTCCGGGGCTTTCGTATTTAACGAGAGCAACGACGAATTTGGCCGAATCGTTTTGCTTATTTTTCATGTGAGAAAGTGTCAATCGAGCCAGCGGTTCACCTGATGTTAAGCGATAGCCGATGCCCGTTGACATTTGCAACACCCGTAGCTTTGCAGAGGCCACCTTTTATTTAAGTGGGGCCCGGCTACCCAACTCACCGAAACGCAGAACTAAACACGTCCACGTTACGCCGGTCTTCTGTGAGGTTTATCCGGACGGACCTGCCAATGCCTGTTGAGTGACCCTACCACAGTAGCGAGTATATTATTTAGTGATAAGTATATTTACGAGCTCCGGTATATTTCAGGGCACATTTTACACAACTTTCTCTAGTCCCAAACTAATCAACACTTGTAATATGGGTACTAGATAACTGATAAAAATACTTAACACTATGTTCATCACGCAATACATTTTGGGGATCGAACCCACACCCTCTGGCGCAAGAGCCAAGGGACGGGTTCACCACCCACTGCGCCAATTGGTTCATCATTCAAACTCACCAGCGCTGAAGGTGTTCGCGTTGTGGGCGGTCCTGAAGGCCTCCTCCTGCAGCTGCGATATGCTGAGGGCGCCTGCCACGCTGGTCACCTCGGCGGTCAGGTTGAGCTGGGTGGCGGGCGTGCAGCGGTACGAGGTGGCGAACGGCACGCGCCACTCGACGCCGTGCCACAGCTCCACGGGGCTGGTGAGGGCTGGGTACGGCAGATAACGCAATAGTAAAATGAACAGTACAGTTACAGCCTACAAATGCCCCACTGCTGGGCAAAGGCCTCCTCTGTATAAACGGTATTAGGGCAAAGTCCACCTCGCGGATTGGTCGACTTTTAAATATCTTCGAAATATTTTTTGTTATTACTTCGAAAATATGATGGTCCTGTCGCTTTGGTGTTTTCCTACACCGCTGAGCATGTGATAAGTGAGAACTTAAAATTAACAATTTCCTTGATGTCGGCCCCGGGATTCGAACACAGTATGCTCGAGTGTATTGAATTAAAATCGAGCACCAGGACACTGAGCTATCGCGGCTTCAATGATCCTATCAAGAAAAATGTAGCGTAGTACGCTAACGAAATACTACCGCGCAGATTATCCAAGGTTTCTGTATAACGAAATCAATACATTTTTCTTTAAAAGAAAACAACCTACTTCGAATGACTCGGACACTACAAATGTTCGATTTAATTTTCGAAATACCAATGAAATTAACATGAGAACGCATTGGAAGCTAAATAAAACCAGAAAAAGTAAAAATATAATTTCCAAAATCGGTTCACAGATGATGGAGTTCTGGGGCAACAAACATAAAAAAATACAAACGAATTGAGGACTCCCTCCTTTTTTGTAGTCGGCTGAACATCACGGTCGCAATATAGCGAAGGTGCATGTTGAACGGGACCCACGTGAGCCCTATATTGCGTATCAGGTACGAAGCTGATCAGAGCTGCAACTGCTAACTATATTTTTGAGGTATGCTTGGATTCGAGACCGGACACAAGGTTACGGGGGGATTAATTTAATGGTTAGGTTACTTTAAAATTTGCGTTTAGGGATTGTACCTACTGAACGTTTAAGTACTTTGCGAGTCAAAAAAACGTACCGTGGAAAAAAATCGCAATGTTGACAGGAATAAAATAAAGAAAAAAACAAATAGCTTGTTTGTATACGTGCGGTCTTGTTGCTCCAAAAAACATAAAACATAACCCTGTTTCGAAATACGTAAAGCGATTTGTACAATAATATTAATAAGCATGATTTTCTCCTGTCAATTAAAACCTAACACGATGTGGCAACCCTCGCTTTTAATAGTAGTTGTGATAATAATATCTTCCTGTTGCCAAAAGACTTGACAAGATTAGTGGCATTATAACTATATTCATTCATAACTATTCGGCTAACGAGTTTACTAATTATGCTTCAAAATTTACGCGTACACTTTTAGCTTTGACTTTTAGGTTATCATGTTTGCTTTGGTATTAGGAATATAACTTTTTAGCCGAAACTTTTTGACCGAAACCATATTCTAGGCAATTCCATTTACATATCACTTATCCAATTATCCGATACACTCAATATAGTACCATCCAAAAAAACTTCGTCTTTATAACCAGCTGTACAATACTGTTTACTGAACTCGTATCGAAACAATGTACAGGAAAAGTTTGTCTTTTCTTTTCTTTATGTGAGAAGGTGTTAAGCATGCTGGCGGTTCACCTGATGTTAAGTGATAACCATCCCATCGACATTTGCAACACCCGTAGGGTTGCAGACTCCTCACTCACCAGAAACACAAAAGTATAATACTTCCAATTTACGCAGGGCTTCTGTCAGTTTGTGGTACCTCCCCGGACGGACCTGCCCATTCGTGCAACAGCGGGGACCGTTGCGTGGCCTGTAACTCTGCGGAGCCCAGCCGCGAAACGCACACATGTTATACACATATGTGTATACACACGTTTTAGTCTAAAATCTACTTGTACCTACATTATTTTTGATTTTAGACCAATAAAGATCTATTATTATTATGGGGGAGATATTCATTTGTTTTCTCGTCTGGTTGAGTTTATACATAAAAAATAAACATATAGATACATGTCATATATAAAATAAATATTATGATAAAAATAAACACATAGATATAAATATTGTATACAACACATATATAAATAGGACCCAACCAGACGGAAGCCCTCGGCAGGGGAGACCAAACGGCCGAGGGTTAGGGTGAAGGGGAGAGGAACCGGCGGACGATGCGGGCGGTATCGAGGAGCACCGCCTTCTTCATTACAGCTTGGGGCGTATTAATATTATTATTATTACATATAGTCATCATCGATATCATTTGAGCGACGATAACTCGGTCACACCGTCCCAAAGATTTCGGGCTGACACTGGAAACGCTCCGGACCCCTGAAAACGTTGACCTCGCTCGTGCAAAGTGCACTGCGCTCACGGACCGAGCCGGGCGAGGTCAGTCAATAGTTTAATGACGGAACTTGCCGATTTCGCCAACGACAACGGTCGAATCGGCGCTAGCAAATTCCCATTCGTTAATATCAGTCCGCTGTTTTCCAGAAGACGTATCGCCCGTCGCTGGCGATTGGTTAAAGAAACATCATCTCATCATCTCCAAACTGAGGTTTCTGTCGCTTGGTACTATTCTAAATTTAAAAGCTGGTGGTTTAAATTGTGCTGTTCTACACTAAACCAGACTATTTACTAGCCCAATGCAAACAATTCGAATATCGTTCAAATCTGTTCGACAAAAGCGACGTGAAGAAGGCAACAAACACACAATATATCTTTTATACGTGAATCTGGCAAAAAGATCTTAACGCATTCTTAAAATCAAACAGACTTCGTATCATCCATCACCATCAGACCTGGCATGGGGAAGGATACCTATAAGATAATACATTAAAAAAATTATAGCAAAAAGAGAATGATCTTTTATTATACAATCAATATATAATAATTCAAAATTCTTTATTCATTCGTAGTCGCCAAAACAATAACTAAACGACTAGGACACACAAATGATGTATCGGAATTCCCGATACGCTAAATAAGTGGTTATAATATAAAGGCCAGTGGTTAATCTACTGTTACTTTTTGACGATTTAATGAAGACGTTATGATTCTACAATTAACTTTATTCACGATTTTAACTAAACGGGCAAATTTTTATTAAATTACATCGTTTAATTGCTAGCTGGCAAACCATACGGCTGATAAGCTATCGAACTTGTAATTACGATAATGATTGTTTTTAAAGCTATTTTTTAAACATGATCGTTTATTATGACTACGAAAATAGACATTGCGTTGAAAAGTATTTATAATATGAAATGAGAAGCAGTGTCAATGAGAATAAACAGGGAAATTGATGAATTTCACGGATTGGAAACCATTCAATCGTCAAAACCTCGCTTTTATGAGCATAAAGTGAAATGAACTTCCTTCTCAGCTTTTATTTTTGGCAAAAAAAAATCTTTTTGCAGATTTCTTAAGCGAGCAATTGCGTAAGAGTTATATTTTTTCTCTCGAGTTACTTATTGATTACTCAAAATACAACGACAAACACTACACTTCGTGCCTGGATCCTCGACGTTACATAAATAAGCGTTCGGATCGTAGAGACTACTTTTATATTATACTAGCTTTTCGCCCGCGGCTTCGCTCGCGTTGAAGCCCTTAAATAAATATCTTTCAACCCTTTACAACTCGGCCCTAGACTACCCGTGTACCTCTCTGTAATTTCATTTAAATCGGTTCAGTAGTTTTGGTATAAAAGCAAGACAGACAGTTACTTTCACATTTATAATATTAGTATGGATTACTATACTTCACAACTTACTTAGTCTTCTCTTCCTTTTGAAAATTGACTAATACCTAACACTTAACTCGAGCCACTTTTCTTGTAAATGCTTTTTAGCTTCTGATAGGAAATTTTAGAGGTCCAATGCACCAAAGGACGTTTGAAGGTCACCAAGGTCGGCCATGTTGACATGTCATTGGCGATAAATACCGTGTGATGAATATGATTCATGTGGGACATAAACACATGTGGGACGTAAACATGACGCCCGAAGAGATGACCCGTTTTATGATATACCGAATTTCTTTTGACTGGTCAGTACCGAATCAATCAATGGGTAGCAAATGTTGGCAATGCCGATTACTTACAAGAGTTGGTCAGGATGGCCGGATCGATGGTGACGTTGAGACTCTTCAGCGCGTACTCCTTGGTGGTGGAGTTGGCGGTGAAGACCAGGAGCATGGTGTGGTCGCCACTTTCGGGCCAAGATAGCTTGATCCATTGCTCGGTGGCGTTGCAGCTGCCGTCGGCGACGGTCGCGTTAGACGGCACGTTGACCACCGCGTAGGCAAGCGAGGACGCTGAAAACACACGCGATGTGAGATGTCGGAATACTCCGATGTGAGATGTCGGAATACTCCGATGTGAGATGTCGAAATACTCCACATCTAAGAGCCTATAGGAACGTAGTTTCTCTTCAAAGGTGCGACTAGAAAATATAAATGGGAAGTTATGAACGCTCGACTGATTTAAACCAAATTATGTTGTATACAAAATTGTTATGTTTTGAAGATAATCGTTAACACGTTTTTTTATGCGAAACAGGTCAACGGTTGACTACCATCCCACCTGATGGTAAGTGGCTGTGCTGCCGTCGATGGTAAGCGCGCTGGCTCAGTAAAAACCTATTCACTCTTGCCTTGAAATGTGTTCATAAAATTTCGAGCATGACATGCTTCGACACACGGTAATTTATGCATTAGACATGACCCAATCCGCGTACAAAATAGATTATGATGTTCGAAGGGTACAATAGACCTTAATTAAATAAATTTAATGTTTAATTTTAGTGCTAGTCTCTGCACTTAAGATGAAATTACACATTTATCTATATATTATATGACTATAAATGATCAAGCCTTACGCTTGATCAATAATAATCATGTAAGTTTAAACAAAATTAACTAAATATGGCGGATGCAGAAAGATACACCAATAATAAAATTAGAGTATTACTCATAACACATGTTCTTGAATAAATGCCGTCGATGCAAAACGCGCGATTCCAATGATTCCATACGGAATCTCAGCAGAGCTTTGAATCCACGCTCAGAACGTGATCGGGACGGCAACAAGGAAACGAAAAGTTGGTAAATAATATGTATCGCTCACGTATTTAACAGTTAACATAATTTTGTAACTGTTTAAACAAATCAGACAAGCACACTTCGCGATAATTGTCTTCAAACGTTTGATTGTTGTACTTTTATTAGGCGTGGAAGGGTAAATAGTAAGTCCCAAAGACCACTGCGGGCTACAAGGATATATTTGGTCTTCCTTTCGAAAATATTGCCAATTACTGTAGGATAACATCTCTCTAGTAATCACTTTAGTAAGGACCTTTTCTCTTTAGTAAGGACGTTTTACATACATAAATTTCACGGGGACAAACACCAAAACGACTATCTATGGATCACGCAAATAGTTGGCTCGTGTTAGGATCGAATTTACGACGAAGCCGAAGCAAATAACGCAACTTCGACACGGATTTATCATTTTATAGTAAGTACCCTAGAGCATTTTGGGGAACAGGCCAAAGAAAATATCAGAACATTTCGGAAATCATACGTGCCTGGTGACTTCACAAATCGTGACCATTGTAAATATTCATTATACCTCGCCTAACTTCACCTTAGTATTTCAAATTTATGCACCGGTCCAGAAAGGAAAACGGTTTTATCTTTGTAAAACGATTTCACAAATTTATAGCTTACTTGGATTTTCCACAACTCCTCTGTAAATTATAGTTCACCATTCAAATACAACTTTTATGCCTCTAATTATAACAACTTTAAACAACTATTTGCAAAATTTTAACTATTTATTTTTATAATATATTCATTAGAACATTTTTTGTAAATCTAGTTGCAATACTACACGATGAAATTAAGTCTGGCAACATATTTTGTGTGTCAATAAGTTTGAATGTGTGAAATAATTACGTCAACTGTTCAAAGGGAAAAGTTTTTTTCATAACATAGTGCTCTGGATCTGGAATTTACCATCCATATTTATTCATAGACTGGCTTCGACTCTTTATCATCGTCAGGTAATATTAAATAGCCTATTAGAATATGGATGCTTTCCACATTACAGATACAAAGACAGGTGTAAATTTAACTAACAGTCGGGACTATGTGCGTGCCTATACTAACATTTAAAACGAGAAAATATTGAATTGAATGCAGTTTGTGACTATAAGATTGGAAAAAATATGGGACATAACGCTTCATTGTACCATATTTGTATTTATAGAATTTTTTAATATTGACTTGTTTCTCAAAAACTGCAGGAAACCCCAAAATTCAAATACCTAGTTAAATCTCAATTTTATGTCCTTTTGATCACAAGTCTTTGAACATAAACCATATATAGTTTCATTATGGCATGGTAACTTACGAACGTGTTAATTTCTTTGTAAAACTTTGACGTTTCATAAGAACACGCAAGCGTTAAGCGTGTATGTGAATAAATATTTTATTATTATTATGGTTAAACATTTAACACTTGTAAACTATACTAATACACCATACTAGCACACATTTTATATATTATATAATTTGCTACTGTAAGATATGACTGAAGCGCGTAAATATTGCATCGATATAATCGATATAAAAAAAAACGTCTTCTAAATGATCCATTTAATATTATCCAAATCCATCTGTAAATTAATAAAATCAAGTATTTTTTTGTAAAACTACAAGGTTCAAGCTTTATCGATAAAAATAACCGCGTCCGCTCAACCGGCGGCTGATTTTGTGCTAGAGATAAAAATTCCGCTTTTCCTCTCATCACTTGTAATGAGTTATGGTATATATGTTTTATTTATTTTTATTTTAGAAGTTGGAAAACAGGTCTCGTGCTATTGCACAAGGTCGCTGCGTGGGCCTTATATTTTAAAAGATATCGTATAACGGACATAACGAGGGTTAAATTTTAACGGTGGTAGGGCTCGGCCGTTACACGAATGGATAGGTCCGTCCGGGTATGTACCGCGAACTCACAGAAGACCGGCGTAAAGTGGAAGTATGACAAAAACTTTCGCGTTTCGTCTGGTAAGTGAGCAGAGCCCAATTTGCAAAAGGTTGTCAACGCATCTGTAACCCTGGTGTGGCAGATGTCCATGGGCGGCGGTATTCACTTAACTTCAGGTGAACCGTCTGCTCGTTTGACAACTTTTCATATTAAAAGAAAAAAAAGTGTCATACTTCTGCGATTTGTCTGTTGAGTGAGGTAGCCGAGCCAACTTTGTTAAAAGGTTGCAACGCGTCTGCAACCCTACGGCTGTTACAAATGTCCATGGGCCTGGGTCATCACTTAACATCAGATCAAACGCCAGCTCGCTTGCCACCTTCTCACATAAAAACATCCCAGCCCATAAAAAAACCAGCCAAGTGCGAGTCGGACTCGCGCACGTAGAGTTTTTATTTTATTTTTATTTTTATTGATTAGAAAAACAAACAGCACTTACATAAAATAAATAGTACAAAATACACACCGATATGTGGGCCAATAAAGTTTTCACCACTAGCTATTATACACTTAGCATCAGAAGTATGCAATTGTAACACAATTATAATATCTTATTTTAACGGTATTTACATTTAAAAAAGAAAAATGTTAAAGATAAGAAAAAAAGATACAAATACAAAACTAAAAACCTAAATTATTTGAAAAACAACATTTACAGATTATATATTTATTTCCATTTTGATTGCGGCAAAACATTTTTCTATACTATCTCGAAAAATGTCAATACGATAGAAGTTTTTGTTATACTTACGACAAACTCTTACAGTAAAACGGTTTTTTTTTTTGGACACTTTGGGACACTTAAATGAAATATTTGAAAGTAAATAGGGAGATTCAATAAATTTTTTTAATTAATTTTACAAGAAACATTTGATCTCTTAACTCTCTTCGCCTTTCAAGGGAAATTAATTTATAAGTAAAAGCAGGACCAAATTTGTGTTTCATCCTCCTGACAAAAGTAGACTGAATCTTTTCTATTACATTTATATGTGAGGAATAATGTGGATTCCACACGGTTGATGCGTACTCCAACTGAGACCTCACAAGTGAATTATAAAGTACAACTAAAGTAGCTGGCTTTTTAAAGTGTACACTCTGTCTGAGAACAAACCCTAGCATCTTATATGCATGTTTTGCGATATTTTCGAATTGGGACAGAAAGGACAGATCACTATCAATTTGAACCCCTAGATCTCTCACCTCAGACACTCTTCTCAAAGTGTGATTAAACAACGAGTAATTAAAGGACGTAGTCTGTTTTTTCCTGGAAAAGGATATCGTACAACATTTATCAGTGTTCAAAAATAGTTTGTTTTGTAAACTGTAGTCTGACAGTTTGTTTAAGTCTTTATGTAAATTAACACAGTCCTGATATGTATGAATGACTTTAAATATTTTAGTATCATCTGCATACAAAAGTACCTCAGAGCTAGAGAAACAATCAATCACGTCGTTGATAAAGATGTTAAAAAGCAGTGGTCCGAGATGAGAGCCCTGGGGAACCCCAGAAGTAATAGGAACAAAACTTGATATGTGACCCTTAATAGCAACCGCCTGAGTTCTATCTCGAAGGTACGAAGTCAGCCACCTGCAGATCACCGTGTATACCGATGATCTCAAGTTTACGTATTAACAGTGAGTGGGAAATTTTATCGAATGCCTTGGAATAGTCAGTATACACAGCGTCAACCTGAAGTCCCTTGTCCATAGCTACCAGAAGAATGTCAACGAACTCATTCAAATTTGTTTCAGCTGAACGACCATTTATAAAACCATGCTGTTGTTTAATTAGTAAGGGTTTTATAGCTGGAAATAAAGTGTAGTCCGTAACATTATCTATAAAAACAGCAAACTCGTGTCTGTTTTATGGGAGCCCCACTTAAATATTTTTTTATTCTGTTTTATAGCATTTGTTACTATAACGGCAACAGAAATATATCATATGTGAAAATTTCAACTGCCTAACTCTCATGAGAGTTCATGAGATATAGCCTGATGATAGACGGACGGACAAGCAGACGGACAGACAAACAGACAGCAGTCTTAGCAATAGGGTTCAATTTTACCCGTTGATTCGAGACAAGAATATCGAATAAGAACTTCGCAAATAAGAACTCAGTATAGTTGGCGTATACATCGCAACCATTCCACGTGTAGTTTTGTGTACTGTCGTAGTACCAGGGCCGCATATGCGCTGTGCTGTATACGTTATCGCACGCCAGATACGACGCGCAAACAGACACGCACCGCGCTTAGCCGTGTATTT